TTGTATAAGGATGAGATATGAAACATACTATCACGAAGTCGTCCTTTTATACGGTCGCCGTGTAGCGAAGTCTTAGTACTAGAGTATGACCCATTACAAGTAAGCCGAAACCGTTTATGATTGGTTTGAATTAGATGTATTGAGTCGTACGATACAAGTACTACGGCACAGTTATGCTTATTTGCATCGTAGTTACGATCAAAATTTTGTAGTTTCGCGCAGGTGCGACGTGGTTGTAACAAAGGAGACGTAGGTAGGATCATTCATCAGCGATAGATAGTGACTAGCAATGATATATTTTGGTGAATCTCTATTCGAGTACTCGATTATTAATAGGGTGTGGGTGTGAGTATGTTGTTCATCCATACCCTACATCCGGATCCACTCATACTCACTAACACTCACACCCATACCTCAAGTTCTCTGCAACCAGCAGAGTTACTTAGGGATCGCATGGTCGTTTTTTGCGATGCTATTTTTGCCAATATACACGTCAAATGATATTCGGAAGTTACAGGTTAAATCGATTTATCGATGATTGTCAATATTGAACGATGTATTCAACATTCTCTATAACATCTGTTATTAAATTAAGCTAGAATTGAAAAAAAAAACAATGAAGTTTGTTTTCTAAGAATAATTTTTCACAACTCATCTTTAGAAATGTAACAAATTAAAACTCATTCTTGCATGTGACAAGGAGAAAACTTTTAGCGCTGTCCCTATGGGATAAAAGTATGAGTATTATGTAGTTATTGTTGCTAACTATATAAATTTTGTTTTATTTTGTCTATCTTACGTCAAATCTCTTCACCCCTTTTTACTTAATTCTCCAGAAGTACAATAAGCAACTAGTTAGTATATTCTATTAAACCGTTATTGATGTACGCTCTATCATCGAATATTAGCAACGTCTGTCACATTTTGCTTGGTGCTCATTTTAGGTCGTGTTTCACAAAAATAAATAACAGATTATGCAAAGCAAATTTTGCTCTGGAAAACTACTTTATAGGAAAAAATGATTTCATGTATTAAATCAAGTCTATGCCATTTAATGCATTGCGATCTTTTGTTTTTAATAGAGTAATTTCGGATTAAACAGAAAATTCTAATGCATATTAATTCTGTCTAAACGGTCGCAAACTTTCTATAAAGACGCTTGTAAAAGAAATTAAACAAGATCAAACTTACTTTCAAAATAAAAACTAAAAACTTTGACATTGACTCCTAAGAAATAAGTATGTTTTCAGTTTAAAAACAAAAAATCATATATTCATTATGTCTATATAAAATAAACAAAACCCAAAATAATTCCAAACATCAATAATTTCTTATTTAATTTACAAAAAGGAAAATGGAAAAGAAGAGACATCCGCTGCTATATACTGATGTTAAAGCTGAAATAGCGCACACACACACGCACACAAATATACATATACGAATGTTATTTAAACATTTCCATACAAATCAACTATATATACTTGAGTAAAATAATTATAATATTTCATACATTGTTTTAGTTAAATATTAAATAAATTTTAATATGGCAATCGAAATTCTTCATCATTATTGATTAATCATATTCATAAACAAAACGAAAATCATCTTCATCTGTTAAATAAGATCCATATGATTCAATATCATCATCATCAAATAATAATTCAAATCTAAGCAAGAATAATTTCTTTTCTTTTATAATTAAATAAAAACTTTCAACATACTCATCAAAAACTCTCCCAACACCAAATGGTGAGAAAATCGATAACATAAGAACATCAGAAATATTTTCTAAATCTCCACGAACATTAAAACGTTGACGACGACGTGGGGGATCCAATTGAACATGCTGTCCTTGTTTATCAACATGTAAATAAAAACATTTTGATCCGAATGGACATAAACCATCACCACGTTTAAAAAATTTACAGTGAATTTGTCTATAAAAAAAGAATCATTTTTATTTGTTGCTGCATTTAATTTATTTATTTGTTTATCATTTACTGAAGATTTTCTTTATAAATTTGAATTAAATTTTTTTTTGCTTGATCATTTTCTGGCCAATATTTTGTTGGTGTAACAAAATCGGATTTTACTCGGCATTCTGGACTGCAAATAAAAATGAATTTTATTTTTGTAATTTATAAGAAACATCGTTTTTTACCAAGCTTTAACAACTTTATGCTCATAATTTGATGATGAACGCCATTTTCTTATACATTCCAAGCAAAAAGTATGATCACAATTTTCTAATATACCAAAACGTTTATCACCATCACGATCCCAAACTGTTTCAAGACAAACACCACATTTTTTATCTTGACTACGTTGTGTTGCAAATGCTTCTTCACAATCAGCTTCATGTTTTCTTAAACATTCCTTTAACAAATAAAAAAAAAATTTTTTGGTAAAAAGATTACAAACTATATTAGAGATTCTTACTACTCGATGTTGTTCGCGTTGTTTTTCATTTGTTGGATGTAATACTGGCATTTCACAAAGATCACATAAATCACCATGAATATACGGACAATAACGTCCAGTTTCTAATGCTTCACAATAACCATCTTTTTCCGCATATGGACATAGAGATTGAAGAGTAAAATCAGAAGAATATTCGTCTTTTTCTTCAAGAGAAATCGAATCATCACGAGAAAGTTTTTCATAGTTTATTGATTCTTAAACACAAAATATTATGTTTTATAGTGAATGTAAATATTAAGTCGTGCTTTTGCAGCTTTCCCCTCCCTACATACCTTAACAAACGGGGTCAACGATAACTGGGCATGTTTCCATAGCCATTGAGAACAATAGGCGTCAGACTCCTTTCCCAGAGTTACTTAGCAATGGAAAAAAAATCACTGAGCTGCATCAACAACACGACTTAGACTGTTCTAAAACATTTCAAAGCTTTCCTCGAAATTGGAAAGGCTGGAATACATTTGTCAATATAATAAATAGTGCAAATTTTTGATTTGTGCGCAAATAAGAATTTACGTTCAAGATGTCAAGGAATATTAAATTAAGAAAAAAGAGTACGAAAATCAAAAAAGAAACAAGGCAAACAGAAACTGAATAAGACAAATCGTTTCTATGGTGATCGATTATCCTGAAAAAAAAACAACATTAGTCTTCTATAGCAAATGTTTTTTTTTAAGGAACAATATCATTTGTTATTAAAATCTCGCCAGTGGAACTATGTATTTGTGGTCGATTTTTTAAACTTTGGAATTGAAGAATCAAACTGTGTTTTAATGCCTTCGAGTGAATGATTAAGAACTTTAGGTATAAATAGTTATGATTGCATTAAATATGCTTTGCTTTTCTTTTTCTGTATCTTATCTCTAACAAGTATGTATTACCTGCATTATTAACTTCAGTAAACCATTGAGATTGAGTATTAATTAAATCTTGTTGGAAAGGATTTGTTGTTATTGGCTCACTGAAAGAACGAGTTGTTTGCGGTTTTGACTGTACATGATCATATCTTAATAAGAACAGAATGTTATAATGAATAAAAAATAATAATCATTTGACAGATTAGATCATACCTGCATCGATCACCATAGATACATTTGCCTCGTAAATAATATCGACAAATATTATTTATTTGACTATTTGATCGATCATGTGAATAGAAACATTTATCGCCATAACGGCATCCATTTGAAAGAAAATATCTAAGCAAAATATTTCAGATTTAAAGAATATTAAAAACATAAAAAATAAAAACAAACCGGCATAGTTTTTGTGGTGATTCATTTGAATTAATGGCATCAACTGATGAAGCCATTAATTATGATTCAATATTAAGAACTAGAAAAGAAAAGAAAAGGAACTTAGTTTGAGGTCGTATTCATATTTTTCCAAAATATATGTTTTCCAAAACGACACGCTATTTCCTAAAATGTTAGTTGGAAGAAAATATAACGAATAGAATCTTAACATCATTTGTTTGTAAAGAAATATTAATCATATTGATCACATATATTATTCTCCAATAATTCGAAATTACATTTAATTAAAATTATTCTAATTTGTAAAATAGTTAAAAAACTGATGTTATGTTTCATTTGCATTTAGTGACGTCTATCGAATTTAATGCATTCGATGCAAGTGCGTTCAAATATCCACAACATCTAAAAAAAACTATGAAATTATCTAAGCTTTTGTAATAACAGTAAGTGAAACTATTTCACAATTCTAAGCTTTAAAGTATTAAGCATTCGGAGCATAGAATGTCAGTGTATGTACAATTAGCCATTCAATTGAAAAACTCATGCTATTAGACTTAATACAACGGATGAGATGAATGTCAGGCGAATATGTTTTCGTATATGTGCACGGAAGAAGTCAATCTAAAAAGATAGCAAGATCATTTTCTAGTTCGATGAATCTCTCTAATTTACTTAGATTGATATGTTATTTAGATGACTAATTCCATTTGAAAAAAAAAGATTTTTATCTAAAGATACCATATGTAACAAATTTAAGAAATACTTAGATCGATAGCTTGCTGCATGTTCATTTTCCATTTCTCTTAAGAAAATAAAACGTAATATTGCCAATGTTATTTTTTGAAGTAATTTAATGAGCTTTTTAATTCAAAATATTGAGTACATACCTTTATGGTATACTATCTGACACTTAGCGTCATCACAAGAGGTCAACAACATATCCTATATCCGTTCTTGAAATGTTATCAACTCGTTTAAAATCTTTATAAGTCTTGAGGTTCGCTATTTTTTGTCTCGTATCATTTACTGACAATGGAATTTATATTCTACCAAATTATATGTAGAGTTTCATTTAAAACAAACGATGAATAAAACATAAGAGACATTGACCGTATAGTCTAAGAAAAAAAATTCTTAAATCAATTATTAAGCGTCGTTATTATCATCAGATGTTTTATCTTTGTGTCTGTGTTTGGGGAGAAGATTTTTATTTAATTAAATTATTTAAACAAATAAGCAGAAAAAAAAACAGACGAATAATGAAGTTTAAATATCATCTGTTGAATTGAAATCTAAACACAATTTTAAATAAAAATTTAAAATAATAAAATAAATTTTATAATTTACTTTTCCATTGTAAAAGTTGTTGAATAGTATCTGTATGAATTACTTTAAAATAACATCGATAATCAATGAGCATATTATTTTCAGCAGTTTTTGCTTTTAATTGACACATTAATTGATAAAGATTTGTTCGTATCAAATTTAAATTTATATAGTTTTCTCTACGAGTTTTTGACGTATAATATTCTAAATGATTTGAAAATTCTTGTTGAATCGATATAAGAACTAAATTACAAATAATTCCACGACAAATTATTTTTATTAAACGATTTTTTATTATATAAAGTTTGTTTTTTAAATAAGTTATTTCTTCTGATGGTAAAGAATTAACTAAAGAAAAGAAATTTTTCTTTTTTGAATAAAATAAAAAAAAACTAACATGAATGTTTTTTATAAAAACGTTGTCGAAATATTTGCTTCGTAAGTAATTTTTGTTTTTCATGCGCACGATCAAGCATTTTATCAATATGAGCCTTTACAACCTAAAGTTTAAAAATGAATCCTAACAAGGGCACCTTGGATTTTCACAGTTTTCAATCAGTTTCATCACACTACTTTAAGTACATGAAACTACTTACCTTCGAGATATGCTAAAAATATGTGCCTGTTGCGCTCAATTAATATTAATGCGATTAGACCATACCGAAGTACGTGTAACTGCTTGTGGACTACCTGTAATTCACTTGGTCTCCAGTAAGATTCATCGCTATATTTTACATACATATTATTTAGTGGAGTCATGTCCTATCCCAAGTAACACTTATTATTTGAGCTCATATTGGATTCACAGGTAGATTACAGTGACAATAGCAAAAGCCTAAAAGGATTCGTTTTCATTGACCTTTGGCATCAAGCTATGACTGGTTTACTAGATTTTTTTATCAATTTTAGGTACTCTCCGGAAGACCAAATAATAGAGTTTCGATCCAAAAGTTTGCCTATAGATAGGTTTCATGTCTCTTAAAATATTTGGAGACGTTCAGCCGAAAAGTATGTTTCCTTATTGAGTCATTGAATTTTCAAGCAAAATTGGTTTTGTGACATGAGTATGGCAAAGGGCTGTTTTTGGAAATTCAACATCTTGACGAAGGAACATTCTTTAGATTTTTGAGACCTATCTACAAATAAATCGGAAATCTACTAAACAGATCATAACTCGGCGACGAAGGTCCACGTAGAGGAATCATTTTAGGTTTTTGTTACTCTCATTACGATCTGTCTGTGGGTACAATATGAGCTCAAATGGTCAGTGTCAGCTCAGGCAGTTCCTTCGCTAATACGATTCTTATAATAGAGCAGTCCAAAGTATTGGTGAATACTGAATTGGAATTCATGATTACAAATACCTCGAAGATAGAGAATGATAAGATCATGACAAAAGACTAAACAAATATAGTGCGAACTATTTGTTTTTCTGTTTGGTCTTCTTGTAATGCAGTCTTCTCTAGAGTCTTTATATGTTCATGATAAACTACTCACAATTTGGTGTGTTATATTTATTTTATTAATTGAAATCCGCACAAATCCCAGATAGGCAAAAAATGTCAGGCCTAAAAATCATCGTGTGCAAATTCAGTGAATGATTATTTACCTGAAGTTGAAATTTATCTTTTCTTTCAATGAATTTTCTATTTTGATCACGATTTTGACGAATTTGAATTCTTAATGATTTAATACATTTAGAAATAATTTGAATATTTTGTTCTCGTTGATGAATATATTCATCAAATCGAGCTAGTTTTTTATATAATAATTGACATAAATTTATACGTCGTACAACCATACGACCTAAGATTGATCGAACTTTTGTGTATTTTATTAAAACTTCATTTGTTTGTTTAAGAGATTTTTCTGAAATGTTATATTCATTTTGATGACTAACAAATTGAATGTAAATATTTGAAAGTTTTTTTAGATTAATTTCATCTTGTTCTTTAAGTACAGAATGAAATTCACGTAGTTTATTAAGAGATTTTTGTTGTTCAACAAAATCTTTATGATAAATGACTAATTGTTCAGTGAAAAATTTTGAACGATATTGAGAATGTCTAAATAAGCAAGTCAGTATGATTAAAAAATGAAATGTACGAAAATTCTTAATCTCTAATTCAGACATGCAGTAATAATAGAGTTTTCGTGTTTTTGAATTCAAATGAAAAAAAATATTTGGCGAGTTTTTATTAGTTCAGGATACTATTATTCGTCATTTAGTTGATGATATAGCTCAACAAGAAATTCAGCATTTTTATATAAATAGATCTTGATCGGAATCCTAATACAGAGAATCACAGAAAAAGTGTTTGCTTGAGTAATTTTGCGTTTATAGGAATGTACATAAAAATGAACTTTTGATTGAAAAATCTCGAGATATTTCGACCAAATTATGTCACTTTGATCATGCATGTCAGGGATGTGCACCGCACCTAACAGTAACTGAAAATTGTTTTTCGTCATTTTTTTACTCATATTTTGTTGCTCTTTAACATTTCGTAAAAATAATGGTTCACTTCTGAGAACGGTTACCAAGGAACAACAACATAAAGTTGAAAATATTACGAAAGATTATTTCACTAGGCAAGATGTCATCAGATATATATATATATCATACTTATATGATGTTCATTTCTGTTTTAACTCATTTACTAATTAAATTTATGCACATTTTTTAAGTTTAAGGTGAATTTAAATATTATTTTGATCACAATGCAATTCACTAAATTTCAAATTAGATCAATTTATTGCCAGGATCATGTTTAATCAACATTGATTACGATTTTATCTAACTTTAACAAATGAGTATGAAATGGAATTAATGAAAGAAACGGTGTCTTAGAAGGAGTGACTCTGTCAACGATAAAATTCCTTCTCATAACTTTTCAGCGTTTGATGTACATTCTTTTTTAAAAACTTCTAGCAATAGAGTTTAACAGTTAGTTTCATTACAGACGGCTGCCCAGCTGCTGTGCTTCAAATTTCCTTCGGCAATGCAGCCGTATCCGCGCAGGTGGTGCACATCTCTAATGCATGTCAAACGAAATCAGTAAAATGAAAACAATAAGGATGCCGTAATTAATTGTCAAATAACATTATCGATTCTAACTCATACTCTACTGATATTTGGAGTCGATGACAAATAGTGGACTCTGTTTTTTTTTCCTTCTTCGATTAAAAGTTCACATTTCTGCTAAAATCAAATAATCAAAAATAACATAGTTTCATTGATAAATTTTATCGAGAACGCCTATCTAAAAGACTTTTAGGTATCTTTGTATTTTACTCTGCTTTTAAAATATCTTAAATAGTATCTAAATCTATCAATTTACTTGTAGATCTTATGTGAATTAAACGTATTCCCAGAGCTTCACAAGACTTCAAGACTGAAGTGACTGCTCAAATTTCAACCAACTTTGACGAGAGTCATAATCAAAGCAAATAAACCCATATCTTAATCATTCTAATACATGGCAAAGAACTAAACATAGATCATAATGATACATACTTAATATTATTCGATGTTACTTGTATTTGCATTTGTATTAAGTGTTGTTTAGTTCGATATGATTCTGAATGATTTTTTATTTCTGTTAATAAATATTTAGATTGAAGATAATGATCTTGTTCTTTGCTAAGTTTATTTTCTATAGTTCAAATTTACATATAAACAAAAAAGAAATAATAATATCTATTAGAAAAACATTTACCAAGTATTTGAATGTGTTCATAATTATCTTTAAAATCTATTTTATTTTGTTTAATTCTTTTTAAAATATTATTTATCCTATTAGTAATTTGACTAGCTTTTATATGTAATTGTTCATTAATTTTTTGATAATTATTTTTTGTATATTCATGAATAAGTTTATGTTGCATAAATGTTTGATGAATTTGCCTAAGACGAAAAATTTTTTGTCGCAACTCAAGTAAATTATTGGGATTTATTTCTGTAGATTGATGATAAATATGTTCAAGATGATTTTTTAATTGATCATTTTCATTAATTAACGGATAAAGACGTTCGTTCAATGTATTCATACGTATTTGTTCTAATTTTTTTCGAGTTAATAACGAATCATGATTTTGAATTAATGTACGATAAAGATGATCATCATTTGAATATTGTTTTAATTTTAATGCTAGTTGACGTTCAATTGTTCGACGTTCAGTCTAAAGTAATACCAAAATAATAAGTAAAAATTAAAAAGCACATGAATTACTTTTACTCGAAGATATGTTTCACGATAGATCTATAAAAAGAAAAGATACAAAAAAAACTGTCAGTGTAGCCATTTTGAAACAAAATTGTAGAACTCACATATGCTTTGCAGCTTCATTATATTAATATAAAATACATAAAGTGAAAAATTTCTATCAGACTATACTTGTTTTCCACGGTCAATCGATCGCCAGAGAAACCATCTGTCTTATATATTTCTAGATTTAGATAATAGAATTTTTTGTCTTTGTCTTGTTGCTATTCGCTCGTTGTTTTCTTTGTTTTGTATACCGTTTTTCTTAATTTAACATTATTATTATTATTTTAATCATTGTTTAATTGGTAAATATGCCTGTTGTATATGTTCATTCTATCTACTGCATGTATCAACGCACTATTATATCTCTCCATAAGATCAGAAGCACTGATATTAACTATTTCTCAAAGTTACAAATACATCAGATCACGTGTTTTATGTTGATCATACGACTACTGTGGAAAATCACTACATTACTACCCAGTATCCTTTGAAGTCTTGAATATAAGTTTTTATCTAGGCAATAATCAGAAACTGCACGATTGAGAACATTCGCAAATGTATTCCAGTCTTTCAAATTTGAAGAAAAGCTTTGGAATATTCCAGAACAGTCCGAGTCTTTTCGTTAATGTTGTTCAGCACCATTTACTATTGCTAAGGAACTCTGGGAAATGAGTCTGACGGCTGTTGTTCTAAATTATTATGAAGACGTACGCGATGACTATTGGTTTTTTCTCCTCCTCGTTGCTATAAGAGAAGAGATGCTGCAAAACCTCGATTTAAAACTTACATTCATTATACTTTTCTTTGAAAAACATAATGTGAGTCCCACAAAAAGAAATACGTTAGAAAAATCTTTACACTGATATTGTCACTAAGTTGTTGATCCATATGATCCATTGTTTTATAATCATTTTCTTTTTTTATCAATAGTTGTTTTTGTTTAATGATACTTTCTTGAAAATCATTAACAGTCTTTTGTAATTGAATATTTATTATTTTTTTTTCATCAATTTTATTTTCTAATATTGATATTAATCTATTAACATCATCATCAATTGTTTGATGTTCAAACAAATTTGATATTTGCAAATGAAGTAATTCGTTATCTGTTTGCTCTTTTAATTGTTGTTCAAGTTCAATTAATGTTAAACGAAAACTACTTAAACTTGCACGATAACTTTCAACAATATTATCATATTGTTGAATTTGTTCGAATAAATTATATTTTATTAATTCAGTTTGAGTTATTAATGAATCACGTTCTACTTGAAGATTATTTAATTCAATTGTATGAGTTCGAACAATGTTTGATTTAAGAAAATCAAGTTGAATCATATTATGAGAACAACGAGTTTTTATTTCATGTATTTCATCTTGTAATTGACCTAGACATGACGAAATTTTAAAACAACTTACTAATGAAGAAAGTTGTATTATATTCAAAATTTGATACACAGCTGAAGAATTTGAAAGATATCGGCAGTAAAATGAAGTTTTCTGATGTATACTATTTATACAGTTGATAATAAATCATAGATGATTAGTAAGTATTAGAAAATAATTCATTGTCTTCGAATTCATATGGAATAGAAAGATAAATTTGCTTTTGTTTTATTTAATTAAAGAAATATATAATAAAACAAGAATAAAGGCTCATAAAAAAATGGGAATACTTGAGAAAATAGCCACCTGTAAGTTTTATAAAGTTTGTTGTTTGTTTTCGAATTTAACCCTTACTCAGATGGTCAAAGTCGATTGATTCATTGATTGATAATTTCTTTTTATTTCAAAAGATTAGTTATTATTCAATATTTATAAACAAATAGTGGTAATTTAAGAATGTTTTCAAATGAGACTCATGTTTTATTCAAAGACCAATAATAATACATCAATCATGTTTCGATATATGGATAATATATCGGTAAAAACAAAGTGATATTCGTTTTGAATAGATTATATTACCAATTTTTATGTATCTGTTATTCATGTCTAGAGAAATCGCCTATCTTGAAAGGATTATTTCGTCAATACATGATGACTTCATTTTCATGTTAAACTTCATGTATATTGACAATTTTTTCATGAGTACTGACTTTCTAGACTACGAAATTTATTTTATGATTTTACACTGAAGTAAAGCATATGTTTGTAGTAAGAAAGCGTTGAAATCTAAATTTTTTAAACAAGAAACATTTAAATATCCAAATTTTAAACTTACGACCATTCTAATAACAACATTCTGAAGTCGATATCGTAGACTACTAGTTTGTCAGTTGATCAATTTTAGGAAATCTTCGCTGCTATGCTTCTTATCAACGACAAAATGCTTGGGAATTGTATTGTTGATAAATGTTTCCCAGGTATTTTCATCGCAAAAATACCGAAGTTCTCAAAATTTTTTCGTCCGTAGAACTTCGTAGAACCAGTTGCATTGATTATTTTGGTAAGAATATATTCAAATTCACTCAATAAATCATGATGCTAAGATCAAACTACTCGAAAATGTCAACTATTGCTCAGCAGCAATCAGGAATAGCCGAAGTTTTTGAGTATTTTGTTAAAAACAATCAGCGCAACAAGCTCTACAAAGATCTATAGGCGGAAAAAAACTTCTGAGAACCTTGAGCTGTTTTGCGGTTGACTACTCATGGAAATATCCATGTCTAAATTTAGCATCTATGAAGGAAGATGTTAGTCATTAAAAGGACTACAATGTTGTAGCAAGATACTTTGATTTCATAAACAACGGCAAAAAAGTATTTTAAACTGAAAAAATAATCAGACATCACTGACTTCAAATAATAAAAGATAAGATTTTATAAGAAAAGATTCTAAACTTACGTTTATAACCGGATAATTGTTGAATTTCTAGAAAACAAAAGAAAAGATAATTCATAAAAGAATTTTCATATTGATTCTCAAAATAAAACCTCGTTTTAAATGTGTTACATCATTATTAATATTATGTAATTTAAAATAAAATGTTTGACATTGTTCTTGTTTTATTTTCATATTTGTTAAATTTTGATGTTCTTCTTTTAATTGTTCAAGTTGATATTCTACATTTATTTCATTTTGTATACGTTCATCAAATTTTTTCCATGTTTTTGTTACAATATTATATAAAAAATTTTTTTCTTGCTTTGCTAATTTATGATTATGTACTAATATAGGTAACAGTTCATTTTTATATGTTATTAAATGTTTTATTTGTGATATTTCTTCATTTATATCAATACATTTTAATGTTGATTCAAGTACACATTGATATAAATAATGATAACTATTTTTATATCGATTAGTATCATTTTCATTAATATTAGAAAACATTTGATTTAATTCATTGTCATTCATACATCGAAAACGTATAGAAAAATCTTGTTCTATTTGATGTTTAAAACCAAGTAGTTGTTCATGTTTGACAAGTTGTAATCGTGGTTCTGGTAATGATAAATAAATAATTCCAGTATTGATATTACGTGTAACTTCAATAGATTTTGAATGATGATCATTTTTGTCTTGTTGATGAGGTTTTTTATAATTAACACTATGTAATAGACCATTACCAAGTTCTAACTGAAATGGAACATCTGAACACAGAGCAAAACAAAAACAAATAATGGTAGATAGATATAAAAAAGAAGTAAGAATTTATTTCAAACTAACATCCATGAGGATGTGGTTCATTAGAACGAGATGAATGATTCATTGTTTGTATTTGATAATGAAAGCTTGATTGAGAAGATTTGTTTTTGAAAGACGATCAAATAAATAAATAATTGATTAAGTAAACAATTCTTTGTTTGGTTAATTCTTGATTGTGAACACTTTTTTGCTAATTAAGAAGAAATGTCTGCAAAGCAGAATCGAATGGGGAGAGACGAAATTTATCGCATATTGAAAAATGTTCGCATAATGGAATCAGCACACGAACTTATTAGTGTAAAAAACCACCATCAACGAGAACAAAACAGAAGTATAATATATGAAAAGAAACATTTAACATTATGTAGGTATATAATCAAAGTCATCTTTTTCAGTTTCAGCAAACACCTTGATATATCGATAACAAAGAGCACGTAATTTGCTTTGGTAACTGTAAAGATCTAAGAAACCATCTAAATAATTATGCTACTCTTGAATCAAAATATTTTCATTTGCTACTGATTTTAATTTTTAGGATATCTTATACGTGATTGAAGTCGTTCTTGTTCGACCCGCACTATTGTTAATTCTTTGGATTCTTGAATGTACCTTATCCATGTCCAAAGATTTGTATGTATTTTGGCAATGAGAATTTAATTGATCATGATAACCTTCTATGTGATTATTCGTTTTAAGTCCAATACCAATTAGATCAAATAAATTCCACAATAATCAAGGAAGTAGTTCTTCTTTCGTGTACATGCGAAGAATATAATCTGTTAACTGAAGAAAATTGTGGTGCACATTACTTATTTGTTCGATAATATTACTAAAAACTTCATTAATTTCTTGTGCTGCTAATAGTGGTAACATAACTATGTGTTATCTGCCAACGAGCTTCATCATTATCCGATAAATTAACTAAACCTTTTTTCTTAATTTATCGCCAAATATTTTGAGGAAAGTGGAAATAGCATCCTTTGACACTTGCTGCTGCAAAGGTCTTTGAAAAAATATTGAAGGAGGCTTTTCAAAATCAATTAAAATAGATTTTGGATCGAGTAAGATACCACTGATTTGAGCACATAATACTAATTCTTTCAAAAAGTATCATATTATGACCAATCACACTATATGTCTCTCTCCATGCGAACAGTAGTTGTATGGTGAAACGAAGACTCATTCTGATATTAAATAAAAAGAACGAAGGAAACACGAAAAAAGAGAAAAAACTGTTAACATATATATTAACAATTGTTTTACGTAATGCAACATATACTATGAGTTTCATACTATAATTGTCCGATACGTGAATACGATAACTTTGGTAACAAAAAAGTAGAGGTGCAATGTGGAAAGTATCGTTGTTATTTCAATATCTATTTGTACCAAGAAGTTGAATAGTCTCTCTTGATACAAAAGCAAGAAATGATGCCAGACGATTATTACAAAATAAAAACAAAAACTGTATCCCATCATTGTTTGAATAAGTCGATTGACACGATCAAATACAGGAACTATAGCACCACCATCATTTTCTCGTCAAATTTTTTTTAACTTGTTGACCATATAACTATGATACCGATGCTGTGGGTTCTTCTTTGATCGTTCACTTGATGGATTGATGCATTCATATATATTGAACATATTCGCGGGGGGGGGGGCTGTCTGTAAGGGAGGGAGGAGCCGCAAAACCTCGAACTTAAAACTTACACTCACTATTTTCTTGGAAAATATATGTGAGTTCCACAAAATATGCATAATGTTTAAAATTTATCAAGCATTCGAACTTTGTAAACAGTTCATCAAGCATATGCTAGCTGTCGGCAAAATCGATTGTGACTTGATAGCGAAAACGTTAACCAAAAGCAAGAATCAGAAATAGTTTTTCTTTCTCGTAAATCTCCTGCTTTAATTAAAATGAGATGTTTTGAGCCTTTTTGCACATTCTCAAGCACAAATATAGACAACNAAAACACAGAAGCATTACTTGTATTCATATCAGTACCTATTCAGTTTGCCGGAAATTCACCGGTTCAAGAACAACTTATAAACGGCCGTTTTCCGGCCGGACCGGACCGGTTGAATTTTTCTACCGGCCGGACCGGACCGTTTTCAAAATTTCTTACCGGTTCCAGCTCTGATAGAGAGATTGGTGGTGATGATAATTTAACAGTATCAACTGCAAATCGCCAAAAAAATTGCTCATTCCGATTTTCGACTGAAAGTAGTTCCAGAACTTGTGGAAGAATTCGGTGTTCAACCATTGAACAGGCGAGGCAGGCCATCAAGTGACACGTGTGTGCGCGGAACGGCACAGCCCTTTCCATGAAAGGTAGGAAGCTCGAGCGACAGACATAGATGTTGCTTTATTTGCAGCCACAGGACTCATGGTCCGAAACAGGAAACAAAAACCAGTTACGAATGCAAGAAATGTAATTTTGACTTATTTGTAGTGCCATGTTTTCAAGCCTATCACACATTGAAACGCTTCCAATAAAAATTACCTTTTAGAGAGCAGAGATCATTGGCTCACAGAATTTACAGCTATTGAGAAGGTTGTTTCTCTCTCTAGACGCACGAGCTGTTCATATGCTGAAATAAAAACTATTTTTTCATTAGATACCAATACATTTTTCACTAAAGAAAACCGCCGTGAACGGGTTAAAAAAAGACAAATTGCTTGTTTTTTGGCTACAAACTTTAATTATCCAAAATATTGATAAAGTAACCAGAATTTTTTCTTCAAGAATTTTTTTCATTTCATATTTAACATTTTTTTTCATTATCATTAAAATTTGAACAATGATGAAGAATTTGTTGAACAATACTGAGCGTTATATGGTTGATACAAAACAGCGAAACTTGATCCAATAAATGTTTCAAATGCTAATATAACACGTCTTTTCTACAACGATCTAAAAAATAAAGCTTTTCAAACAAATTAAAATTAAGATAAAACATTTTTTATACTTTACCTGGTTGTTTATGGTCAAAATCATTTTCTCACAGCTTTAATAACCCTACAAGTTTCGATGTCTTGAGTTGCGACTGAATTGTAAACTTACAATTGAATTGTTTGTAAATACAGATCATTTCAAAAAACATTTTAAAAATATAATATCATTTTCCGTATAGTCTTTAGTCTGCAAAACTCCACTATTTTTATTAATTTCAATTCCATTTAAAAAATGTATTTCTAATTTTTTTTCTATACACAATCCAAATTTGTTAAGTTTATTCTCGGAATGAATTCGAAAGAACTCGTGTTTCTGGCTTTAATCTCTTATCAGTTTCAATATAAATGTTTAAGAGATCTGTTTAAACCAACCCAGAACTTTGCTATAAGTTCTGTGTTTGTTTATTTGAAAATTCAATCATGATCAGGGTAAAGTCCTCGTAGGCTCCTCAACTCTACCAGATTCAGAGGAAGACAAAATGAAAATTTCAAAAAACCTGTCATTGATTACTCTTGAGACTTCATTTAAGATTTGCATTAAAGTTCGTATTGTGATTGAAAGATTCACATATTTTGAGTAGATCCTGAGCAAAAACTAGCTAAAAACTTGCTGATACTTTTACATCAAACCTTTTTGACAGAATGCTGAGCAGAATCAGTGATAAATCTTGATAGGATTTTGAACAAAAACTCTAAGTACAATCTAGACACAAGCCTTCAAAGATCTAGGTTGGATATTTCTATCTTCCTATTACGGTTCTAATGATGGTTGGTGTTGTTTTGTGAGGATCCGAAAACATCTGTTCTGAAAAACTCGGAGCAGTATCCTAATTAAAACTTGACAGGATTTATTTGTTTATGATTCTGACTAATCTTATTCCATTCTTTTTAAGATTATCCTCTGATATGACTGCACTTCTCGACTGGATCTTCGTATTAGGATGCAGAACATATCGTGGCTACAGATTGATTAAATCTTGACAGAATCCTGTCCGCTAGTTCTGTGAGGATCATGGGTAGGATTGAGAGTGGATTCAGATAGGATTCTGCATTGTCAATTTAGAAAACGAATCTCCAACATAATCCCAAATAAAACTTCGCAGCATCATTCAAGGCTTTCTCAAGAAATGAACGAGACTCGATAGAATAAACAGGATGTGCAAAGAGTCTAATTTAAGTCCTTGTGTTGTTTTGTCAAGATTCTGATTATAATTGGTATTGTGTTGAGATGATCCGAAACTGTTATTCGTGAAAAGCTTTCGACAGAAACATAACGGAAGCTTGTTAAGATTTTTTAGTTTATGATTCTGACTGATCATATTATTTTCTTGCGAAGTGCTCGTCTAATGTAGCTATAAATCCTACTAGGACTATAATACGAAGATTTCGAGGGTATCTTGACATGATTTTGATAAGATTTAACAAAATATTCTCTGATATTCCTGTCAAGATCCTAAGCAGAATAAAGAGTGAATAAGGTAGGACCTTGCATGCTCATTTTGAAAAACTATCTAAGCAGGAACTTGAACAAATTCTGCGAACAGAAAATGCCAGGATTCGAGATAGAACACTGATAAGCCCTTCCGAGATTTCTTCAGATATAAACAGAATTGGCATTAACGGAATAGTATCGTAAACAGAAATAGAAAACTGCACAGTTTTTTTTGGAAGTGCATGGCAAACTCGTATTTCTCCCGACTTTTCTTCTTTCATTTCAATTGAGACTTCAGTAGTTGAGTTTTTATATTCATTTCAAGATACCATTTTGAGAGCACATTGCAGCTATTTCTTCGAATATAAAAATTCGCTTATGAGCATTTGAACGAATTTATTTCTATTATTTCCCCATGTGTTTAAGTGAAAGCAACATATAATCAAATGAAATAACATAATAAATTAAACTCTCTTTGAAAACTAAGAACTATAAACTGGTTTTCGTGTAATTAATGAGAAACGCGGATATAGTTATCTAGTACTGTGGGCGCTCTAATAATGCTTAACAACTTTTATTAAACAGAAGTTAAATTAAATCAATTATATTTATGTGTCGTCATAGTAACTCAAGTTTCGTTTGAGATAAGAAACTGGTCAATACATTTTAAATTTCAATAACCAATTTTCTATATGAGAACAACTTCGAAAGATGGCAGCAATATTCGATCTAATGATTGTTGCTGCTGAACTTCGTTTTCGTAATCTTGAAAGAAAAACACAGTTCTCGCTTCAAAATCGTCATTTTGTAAAGCAAACTGAGAACGAACAGAATTTCATATCGAAGTTTGGTAAAAAAAACTTATCATATAGGAATATGGTTCTGTAACGACGTTTGAACGAATGCAGCATGACTTTTGATCTTTAAAGCATTATTATACAAAATAGTGGCTCGACTTATGTACCGAGAAGGTAAAAAAAACTTGCGAAAGACTAAATCAATGCTGTGTTGCGTACTGCATAAATAGTGGCCCTGAATATTGACCGAGTTCAGTAAATCCAAGAAAATTCTTTTGAATTCAGATGAATGCATTTTTTTATTCATTGAAGTTCAATAAGGTCCTGATACCCCCCAAGATCAATTATTTTAGTTTTAAAGAAACAAGTAGAAGTCATGTGAGTAGTGTATAAATTAAAATCTGAGGCTCATTAACCTAAACAGTCACAGATAGAGATAAACGAAGATAAGACATTAAAAGGATCATGGAAGTAGAAATCCGTGAAATGATATGGGTCAAACTAACTGACCCCATAGGAAAATTTTTCCGTCTTATTCTATTCTCGACGAAGCTCTAATGGACATATTTTCTACCGTAGTATCAGCCACCACTAGAACTTCGCATCGTAACTTATCAAATCTTCAGACAAAATATAATTTAACCAATAATAGATAGTATTCATTGTCCAGTTCTAAATTTGATTTTATTATTAGTGACCTCTATTATCTTGAAATGAAAAAAACAACTGACTTAAGTTTTCTTTCTCATCAACCCTCCCTCCAAACGCTCAACATCTTTTTCATTCATTCATTTTGTTCAAATACAATTCATTGGATAGATACTTTCTCAAAAAATACCCACAATCATGTCTACAATCTGTGAACATCCGTTTTGTACTCGTTCAATATCAGCAACATGTTCAAATCATTGTCAATTAGATCTTTGTCAAGAACATATAATTGAGCATAAAAATTTGTTTCTGGTTCAATATGAAAAATCTTTTAATAATCTTAATGAATCATTGAATGAATTGATTGATTCAATTGAAGAAGAGAAAGCAACTGTTGAAAATATTTATCAAAAAGATGTCTCTATAATTAATGAAAATCATAATAATAAATTAAATGAGTTGGAACAACAATTTCTATTCGTTATTTCAACACAAAAATTAATTAAAAAAAAACTTCAACTTTTAACTGATGTCAAAAATGGCCAAGCTTGTCTATATCAATATGATATTGAACAAATTAAATTATATTTAACAAAAATACATGAATATCATCATGATAAAATTACAACAGACACGTAATAAAAATTTTCTTTTTTTCTTCTAAACTTAGAAACTTTCATTGTTAATTTTTCATTCTTTCTCAGTAATAAAAATGACACGAAAGCATCTTCTCCATTGGATTCTGACGTCAATTCAGATGTTGATTATGATCATGAATTAAATACTAATACAAAATATGATGATACTTTACATCTTCGTGGTCGATGTCCTTTAATGCGTCTTGGTATATATGGCTTGACAGATAAACATAAATTACGTTTATGTTCATCTAAAACGAAAACGAAAACACCTGATCTTTTTTTTTTTGAAACATTTTCATCGTTATCATCATTCAATAAGTAAATTATCATATACATTAACAAAAGCTATAATTAATAAATTAAATCTTTTAACAACGTGCATCTTTCAATCTGAAATCGATATTATTGATCAACATTATCATCTTATTCGATGTCCATTAAATAAGATAGAATCTATTAATTGTAGAAGACCATCTTTTAAAAGCTCATTAAAAAAAAAAAACATTTATTAAAAGTTCATCTTTTGACATTAAAAACATGTAATAAAATTATAGAAACAATTGAAAATGACGATTATACAACAAAAGTTAATTTTAATGAAGATGAATTTAAACAGAATGACAAAAAATCAATGTATGTAAATTACTATTGTAATTTGATTAGTTTTTAAAAAATTAGAGTCAACATTGAATACTTTTTTCTTTACTCAAAAAATAATTTCATATTTTTGTTGTTCGAACGATATCTTCTCTTCAAAAATTAATCTTTCTCATGAAAAAAATCCGATTAAAAGTAATAAAAAACCTGATTATGTTCTGTTAAGAAATATTCTTAGAAAGAATTCGTATCGTTATTATGAATAACGATATTATTGAACTTTATATATTAATATGAAAAACGTGCATAGACCATTATGATACTCAGTCCCGTTCATTAAATCATAATCATGTTATGGAATGTTATTAGATTTCATTGTTGTTGAAATATATTATGGTTTAATTTAATTTTTCCTAAACTAAATCTATCATAAATAGAGAAATTCAGCAGGATTTTATAGAGAGTTTCTCTTAAGGAGGAACCATTTAGTACTTCGATGGGGTTGACAGATATTTTCGAGAAGGGCAAATCTAATTTCTGTGGCAGTGTTGCTCTTTCGGCCCCTACATTGGATAAAATATTGAAACCTACAATTGACTTTTCTTGTTTTGAATCGTTTGCATAGATTTCTAATACGGTCAATCATTGATTTCAAGAATGTTTCAAAGAACACAGAAGAATTCAGTCTGTTATCGAAATTCATGGACAAAAATAGTGCATTGCAGTTGATCAAATTGCTCAATAGTCTTTCCGTAACTATCGACTTTGAAAATTCTTGAAATGACATTGTTTCGACAGCAACTATTCCTAACTAGAAAACGCCGTTTGATTCCATATTCTACTTTCAAGTAGATTTTGATAAGACTAAAATAAATCTTAAGAAGGTTACTCTTAGATCAAACTTTGTTGTTTTGTTTATATCCACAACAGAAAGAAATATGTAATTCGAATACAATGATCATTTCTTGTTAACTAATTAACAGATTGTATTTTGAATCGTTACTTGCAAATAGCAATACACAAAGTCATTTTGAATTCAAATCTAGTAGAATTATCGAAAGCAACATTTTTTTTTCACTTTTCCTGTTCTCATCAAGCGTAACAACAGTAACTAGAAATATTGTTTCATAAGATAATAAATGATCTAATTTGATTATAAACTATTTGTTTCAAATTCTCTTGAACGAATGCAAAAATCAAATAATTAATTAGAATTCTTTCGTGTTTCTTTATTGTTTATTTTAGATAATCAATCATCATTATCATAGACAATCGTAATATCGAACAAACTATAATAAAAGCTTTTTGTTTTCATGATTTTTCAATCTTGTAATTGTTTTTAATAAAAATTTCTAATTCTAGATGTCATGTCAACATCCAAATTGTTTTTATCCTATTCATTCTATGTGTACAAACCATTGTCATTGGTCTCTCTGTGAAGAACATATAAATGAACATCGAAAATCACTTGTAACCGAATTTGAAGAACTACTAAAAAATTTAATTAATCCAACAAATGAATTATCAAATTTAATGGAAGCAAGAAAACAAAGTTTAACTATAGAACAACATAAACAACTTGATTATCTTAAACAATCTTATAAAAAGCAAATAAATAAATTTGAACAACCATTAATTATGATAAATAGATTTCAAGAACAACATAATCAAATATATAAACATTTAATTCAAATAAAAACTAATGAAATTTTATTAACACAAAATGATTTTCAACCAATTGATATATTATCAAAAGAAATAAATCAATATAAAGATTCTTTAAAAGGTTTATTTATTTATTTATTTATTTGTCTACATCTTGATTGTAGAATTTTGTTTTTTTGACCAGTTAAGGAAAAGTGTCCGCAAGTTAGAATTGAGAAGGGAAGAAACAAAAGTAGCAAAACTTATTGATTAGAAAAAAATACAGAAAAAAGTCATCAATCAAGTATTATTAAGTAGGATTGCATGAGTGGATTTTCTCTTTTTCTCACACTCAACGTCGCAAGTACATCCCCGCATCACACTCTCTATTTTTTTTATGTTACTGCATTTCTATTACTTCAAATACTTTTGTTCACAATACATTAAAAAAATACCCTGGACTATATATGACATGTGACATTAGACTAACTCGAAGAATGTAATATTCACTCTTAAATCAAATTATCCACACCGATTCTCTTACTATATTTATTTTCGCTTTGTTTCGATTATGCGAACAATTTTCTCTTTCAATTAAGAAAGAATATTCACAATCAAGAAGATACGATTTGTTTTTGCTTTCATATTCAGTTCTTTCTTACTTTTCAATTTAGATAAAGAAGAAAATAGAGTTGATTTACAACAAACACAAATTCTACATAAACAATGTCCATTAATAAGTTTAAATATCTATGGTTTATTATCATCACATAATGTACGTTTATGTTCTCCGAATAGAAAAATTGAATATTTATTTAAACATTTGTGTAATTATCATCATCTGACATGTCATTATGCAAATGAATTAATCAAAGCCATTGAACTTAATTTAGATCCAATACAAACAAAAATATTTCCTTCGAATACAAAAATAACTACTATTAATGATAAACAACCATGTCCATTATATAATGCACCAAAAGAAAGTGGAATTCGTTCTACACCATGTTCAACTATGGTTACGGAAAAATTCTTACCAGTACATTTACAAATTGTTCATCGTCTTCGATCACCACAAATCAAGGAACTTATAAAAAAGAATTGATTTAACTTCATTGTTTTCTTTTTTTTTTTGATTCGAGAAAAAAAGAAGAACATTAAGGATAAAGACAAATGTCTGTTTCAGTTTATACTTGTCATATGATTATTTTTCTCTTGTTAAGCTATTTTGTTTTGTTATTGAAATAAATAATTTCTCTTCAGATATTTTATCATCATGGCATGTCAGCATCCGGGTTGTTCGTTTGATATATTTTCTTCATGCATAAATCATTGTATGCAAAACGTTTGTTTGATACATTTAATTGAACATGGTGATGCATTATTAAGTGATTTTACGGATTTACTCGATCATCTAGATAAATCGACATGTGTTTTAATGAAAGAAGCAAATTTTTCTAAGACTCAAGTGAGTGATATTTGACTATTGATGATTTTCAATTGATGTTTATTTAGATTTTAAAATTAGAATTAGATACTTTCATAATGAAAATCAGAACATTAGGGAACTGATTGATATATTTTCGAACGAAAAGATGGCTAACGAGAAAATATTAAATAGGTGATATCCATTGATGCAATTCATATTTCTACTATGAATGAAAAATGTTAAGACTATACATCTGATTGAAATCGGACGAAGATCACTAGTAAACTGTCGCTGAACCAATTTGACATCATATGCACTACATTGTCCGTACTGGAAAAAGATCAAGAAACTTTCAGATTTTCAAAGTTGCTCTGATATGAGTCGAAACTTAGTATATTAGTTATAACTCTAAAAGATGACTCTATCCACTCGTACTATTACACAAATGTGTTAGTCTCGAAGCTGTTGACGTATAGCCAAAATATGAATTCAATCTGCGACTTTCATCTGAAGATGCTTTCTCGGATTGATGTACATGAGACTGATGGTTCCGTGGTTTTTTTGGTAACTTAGATCATGCCGTCTTTCGGTTTGCTGGATAGCAGTTGTAAACATCTCTGAATTTTTACTTATGTTCTTCTATTTTTCTTCCTTGTCCTATGTGTAAACTATCCTCCTTGATAGAATGTTGTGAAAAATCAGTATAAACTACTTGCTATCAATTCACTTTTTGTCCCTAAATCCACAGCAGTTATCATGAGGACAAAGCGATTGCATAAAACGTATCTATTTTCTTTTTATAATTACTTGAATTTCTTAATCCTGCAAAGATATATCAAAAAATTGAAACTTGAAATCTTCCACTATGCTTCAAATTGTATGGGTATTATTATTAAATGTATTTTTTCAGCAGTTGCTGTAAATCTAACGAATAAAATATTAAATAGTTTGAGTTTTCATATCTATTTTATTTTGCAAAATGATAAAACTAGATCATTCAACGTCGTCAATATGAAATTGAACGTATTAATCGTATGTATGATAAAGACCAACGAGAAATTCGAAAACGACTTGCATTTGCTGAAGCTGCAAATGCTTTATTAAAAGATAAACAGCATAAATTAATAAAATCTAAACAAGAAAATGAGTGTCATATTGGTCAACATGATTTTGAACAAATAAAATCATATGCAATTCAAATAAAAGATTCCTCATTTGAAAAACAAGACAAATCAATTACAAAGTATCAACAACAAAAAATTTTCTTCTTTTTAATATTTCAATCTTTTTCTTCTAGTTTTCAAATAACTAATGAGCCAAATTTTATAATAAGTAAGGCTTTGAAAACTTATTCATGTCCATTAATTCGACCAAATGTATTTGGTATTAAACTTGAACATAATATTCGTTTTGATTGTAATGGATCAACATTTAATAAATCACACTTAACTAGACATTTAGAATATTATCATCGAATGTTACCGGAATGTGCACGTCGCTTAAGAAATGCTATTGTTAATGGACAATCATCATCGGATCAAATAAAATTATTTTCTGATAATGAAATTATTCTTGTAAATAATTTTTAATTTCTTTTTCTTGATAAAAATTCATGTTTTCTCTAGAATCAAGAATTTTTCAGTGATTGTCCTTTAACAAATTCAACAAATATATTTGGTGCACAATCATCATTATCTATATTAATGCATATACCATGTACAAAAAAACAAATGGTACTAGCATCAATGATAAACCATTTTCAATACTATCATAAATTGAAATATGATGCTGCAAAAAAAATATTTAATTTAATGAAAAATAAATCTCTTACACATGATATTATTCTTTTTGAAAAAGATGAACGTATTGGAGCAACGTATAAGAAAAAATAATATGTTTGGTTTATGTAGCATAATAATGTATCGTTTTCAATATTCTAAAAGATAAATACAAACAAGTATCTACATTGTTATTTATTTATTTTTTGATGATTTCATTTCGTTTTATTAACTACGAACATATATTTGAAACGTTTTATGAATAAAGTTTTTCACGAACAATTATATAAGTTCTTATTTTGTTTTGAAGAATTATTATTCAGTGTTCTTGGTCGAATGATCCAGAAACACATGAAAGATAAATAGATTGAAGAAGGTCATGTATATCAGACGAAGATTAATGCAAAGTAATAAAAATATCTGTTCAAGCTTTTAATCAGGACTATCTAAAAGTATTAGAAGGTCTATATTCAACTGATTTATACAAACATCTCATCGTGATCAATGTGTCTTTCGTTCTTATGAAAAGAAAAATAATTTTCATTTATCATTAATCTTTTGTTCAATTTCGATTTGGTATCGGTTCACATCTGATAAAAACTGGAAATCTGGGCTTCTTTGTATTAAGAAATTTCTATTAAGAAGTTTATGCTTTGTCAAGACGACGTAATCACACCGTCTGCAACCATTGACAGACATCTACATGGAGAAAAGTCAAAGAGCAAAGAAGCTCGAAATAAAATATCGAAGCGAAGAAAGCAGAAAAATTATCTATAAAAGTACTGAAACAATAAACGGTAAATATACAGACAAATATGTAATGATTCAATATGAGTCAATATACATATGATACGCACACGACAGTGAAAGAAAAAGTAGGTACGGCAACGACAGATTTAGGAGAATGAAAACATATTTACCTCTTCCTTTTAGGAATTTTATCGATTTTTTTCCTGATAAAACTATCGAAAAATTCCACCCGACTGCACTTATTTTAAGAAGATTAATAAAATAATGCAGAAGCAAGCCAATAGAAAAGATTTTAATGTTGGCCATTATTGACCTATACATAATGAAATAAATGCTCCAACAATTGAAGAACTACAAGCATTCTACTAAAAGAAAAGTACACAGTGATCAGAGATACTCGATCCTGAATTTGATTAAGCTTTAAGGTATTTCCATGATTATCCATACTGCTCAAGAAACGTTTGAACAATCGCGTAAATATTTGACACTATCAGAACTGATTGAATAGTTCACGAATCCAAACTCGAATACGAATCCGATTTTAGATTCGATGAATGCCTAGTAAATAATAATTGGATTCTCTAAAAGTTTTACTATATGTCATCCATGTTAATTCGAGTAGGTGTTAGAAAGTGATTTTCATTATGATTACTGTTCATTATTCTTTAACAACTTACCATTGCCTACCTTTATGAGACTCAGAAATAATTCATATTAACAATCTTTTTTTGTTCTACTAATCAATACTTTTTTTTCGACAACTTTCCAATCATTCGTTATATAAAAATAAGAATCTAGTTTTGTCAAAGCGAAGAGATTCACAGATTGTAGTATAAGTAAAGAAACGATTATGATGTTTGCTCTGAATCAATGAACTTTGCACCTCTAAGAATGTACGACATTCTGCTTTAATATGATTCATGTTTAATATTTGTCCTATTTGTCATTTTCTGTAATATATGTTAGGAATTTTCCCTAGTGTTGTTGTCATATGTATGTTCTTCTCTTTGCTGTGTGCTCTCTGATTGTTCATTTGTTTCTGTTACTTTCTTTTCCTACATTTATAAAGTTACTCTTATTGAATAAAACTGATGACTCAAGTGTAAGTGAAACTCAGTTCTCAATGACTCATACACGTATAACTGCAATATAGATATGACCAGCTAACCGTCAATAATTAAAATATTTACCACTATGTAAAATACTTCCCAATTTTTTGTCATTAAGCGACATCTTTTTGTTTTTTAACTAATATTTTATTGGTTTCTATCTGCCATATCATCGATAATTGAGTCATAACAATAGCTCTCGTTGACGTCAGCAAAAATATTTAAGAAAGTTCTTTGAGTATTATCATATTTACATGTATTATTCTTCATACTCAATCTCTATTATTTTGAATTTTAAATAATTTCGTTTAGATTTTTATCACTCTTATTAAAAAAATTCTTAACAAAAATCAAGTCTCAACAATGAAACTATTGGCAATATTTGTTTTACATAAGGAAGGTGATAAGAAAACGAAAATACTTCAAGATGAATTTAATCTTGAAAGTTTTGGTTATTTTGAACGTCGTAGGTAAGATTTACTTCAATATAATTTAGTTCCATATAACTTTATACTTTTTTTCTTTTTAGTGTACAACCATTGCTTGTTTTCTCAGCACGAACAGTTACCGAACGTACAGCTTTAGGTACAAGACAGTCAGTGGAAGCTGATCAAAATGTTAACGGTAAAAGGAAAAAGATAAATCTACATTTTTCTATATAAAAATGTTTATTTTTTAGCTATGGTTCATGTTTATGTTCGTCCAGATGGTTTAGCATCAGTTATTATTTCTGATAGTGAATATCCACAACGAGTTGCACATACCCTTCTCAGTAAAGTAAGTATTCATTTTTCATATGTATTTTCTTTCATATTTTATTGTATGTTTTATTTTTAATTTAAGGTTATGGATGATTTTACTAATGCGTATCCACCCTCTTCATGGACACTTATGGGTGAACAGTAAGTTAGATTTTTATTCTTGAAAAAAAAAATTATTTTCATAAATTTCTTTATTATTAGAATGGGTAAAATGGCATCACTGAGTGAAGTTTTAAGAAAATATCAGGTTACATTTAGATATAAATATGGAAATAAATAATTGCTTATTTACTTTTGAATTTAGAATCCAGAAGAAGCTGATCCATTAATGCGTCTTCAAAAAGATCTTGATGATACAAAAGATATTCTTGTAAGTTTCTTATTAAAAATATTTCAATAAGACATGCTTTGTTTTCTTTTTCTATTTGTAGAAAAATACATTGGTTAATGTACTTGAACGTGGTGAAAAAATTGATGATTTAGTTGCACGATCAAACGATCTAAGCTTTGAGGCAAAAGCATTTTATAAAACGGTATAAATATATTCTTTACTTATAATCATTTTTATTGGTTTTTTTTTTTCAGGCAAGAAAAACAAATCGATGTTGCACATTATTCTAATCGTTTATTTCCATATATCATCTTTATTTCATGTTAATTTCAGCGTTTTTTTTTTTTTGTTCTCTTTTTGTATAAAATGCCAGATGAAAAATCTGAGAAAAAACCAATGAACATTCTTTTTTTTTTCCACGGATGCCCATCATTCTGGTTTTTATGTAACTCCTATTCGTTCGTATGAGTCTATCAATGTACTTACTCTTTATTGTGTGTCTGTGCGTGTATTTATAAAACAAAAAAAAATGATTGATGATCCGGAGAGAAAGAAAGAACAAAGAAATAATATATGATGGATCGTTAATCTAGGCTGCTAAAGCCAAAATGTTTTCTTTTGTATCCTTGTAATTTAATCATTGGAAATCTATTTGAAATAAATTTGCAAAATTACACAAAAAAACGACTTCATTTCAATCTTTAGATTTGAATTAAAAAGATAAAAATACAAAGAAGAAATGTCCAAATCACCTTTTTATTCAATTCTTCTTCCAACTTATAATGAACGAGAAAATTTACCAGTTGTTGTTGCTTTAATTGAAGAATATTTAAATGATACACCACATGAAATAATTATTATTGATGATAATTCACCTGATGGTACACAACAAGTTGCTATTGAATTACAACATCAATTAGGTCCAGAACGAATTATTCTTAAACCACGTTCAGGTAAATTAGGTTTAGGTTCAGCTTATATTCATGGTTCACAATATGCACGTGGAGATTTTATTATTATTATGGATGTTGATTTATCACATCATCCACGTTATATTCCATCATTTATTGAAAAACAACGTGAAGGAAATTATGATATTGTAACAGGTAGTCGTTATTTACCTGGTGGTGGTGTTGCTGGATGGAATCTTAAGCGTAAAATAATATCATGTGGAGCTAATTACTTAACACAACTTCTACTTCGTCCACCAATATCTGATGTAACTGGTTCATTTCGTTTATATCGTAAATCTATATTTGATCAATTAATAAGTCAATGTACGTCAAAAGGATATGTTTTTCAAATGGAAATGATTGTACGAGCTGTTAAAGCTAAATTACGTATTGCGCAAATACCGATTATATTTGTTGATCGACTTTATGGTGAATCAAAATTAGGTGGACAAGAAGTTGTTCTATTTGCTAAAGGTGTACTTCAATTAACTTTTCTTGAATAGAATTTATTTGTTGCTTTTCTTTTTCTTTCTTTTCTCTGAACATTCAATAAGTTTTATTGTTTTTCTTTTTAATGACATACAAAATTAACATCAATAAAGATAGTTTCAATATCTTCTTTTTTTTGGAAACATATAGATTGTCTCATGTGCAATTAGTGTTGATAACTTTGCACATTTTTACAGACTTAATTATATGGAACTGACCAGTTATCTTAAATTAGTAAATATCGAACTTTCTTGGTTTAAACAAAGGATTTATTCATTCAAGAACACGATGAAAAGGTTCTAATTCCTATGAAGTTTTGTAAAATACGATCTAAAAGTAGTATTGAAGTATAGCGATAGAAATTTCGGCCCATAGACGACAAAGTTCCTTAGTATAAGACTTTTTCATGCTTTATAGCTCACCTCATAGCTATTTTCGTAATATTGTCCCACGTTATTCTAAAATTTCGCGCTCTGACACTACACCGTACCCTATTCTAAGATTTTTCGATTTTGACATTTGTCAACATGAAGTTTTCTTCATTATGTTACAACATATTTCGTTGATTTACAACGATAATCAAATAGAAAACTATGACATGTTTCAAAACTTTGCTATGAATAAAATGTCATTAACAATGTTGCCGCTTAATTCTATCTTCTCTCTTCCAAACTCTCTCGCTGACATCGAAAATATGCTGACTTGTGGCTAAACTTACCGGAACTGTCATTAGCCTTTTTCAATACTCTAAGTTGTGAATAATTCCATGACCATTTGTCTCTCTAGCTCAATACAGTTTTTTCTTTACTTATACTGGATTACACTTTAACAGAACGACCGATTTCTTCTAAGTCAGAAACATATCAGGAGTGTATTTGGAATTGCTTACCAAAATAGTCCTAGCAATATGAATAACACGCTAATTCTACCTTACCCTATAGCGTAGGTTAGGGCTATTCTGCAGGACTCTACTAGATGTCTTAGCAATATTTCTTCTCTCCATCACAAACTGTGACAGGCGCCGTTGATATACGATTAAAGATCGACTCATTCTAATATACGAACTATTTCGTTATTGTTATTTCTGAAGAATTAAACGAATGATTAATGAGCAAATATGTTCCAAAATAGATGATAGAATAAAGTAGTCTCCTGTGATTAGTAACAGCAGTTACATCGTCTTTCACATTTTTGATACCGTAGGGATTGGGTTAATAGCTTTTTCTCAGAAACTTATTGCTATAAGAGTTTATTACTAAAATATTAAGCTAATATGCTTAACTATTTCCTTTAAACTTCAAACGGGATAATTAAATCAATAACGTTTGTCATATTACTAATATCCTTATTATTGTAAACGTGATGAAAGAGAAAAAAGCATATTTCTACATTACTTTTAAAATTTTCAAAAACGTCTAATATTTAATTTTTGTTATGCATGATCCCTTTTAGCTAAGCATAGGGTGTGAAGAAAATCATCTGTAATTGGAAAAAAAATTAGTATAATGCGATTTTGTAATGAAAATAAAATCCGTTGATGAAAAGGCTGATAGGAAGACTTTGTCTTACCATAATTGATTAAAGTGAACGCAATTTTGTACAATGACTAACTAGATGCCTATTTTTATTAAGAGAAAAAAAACAACATTCTTTCTTACCTTTATCGAAATATTGTGCAATACTATGAGCCATAATACATTTTGATATGAATCATATAATTTTTTTTGTTTAGGTATAAAGTTAGATTGTATATGCGAAAAACAGTTACAATAACTCGTCTTATTCTAGATAATATGGCAGCAAGAAATTTTCAACGTTCTCGTGGCGTGAGTTTAATTAATTAATTAATATGTTTTGTTTTTATAAATTTCATAATAGGATCGAGATGCATCTGGTAATTCTAATGGAAAATTGATTCAATTATCAAAATCTTTATCTTGGCTTCTTCGTCATGCGGTTCTAAAAGAAGGTTTAGAGTTTCAACCCGACGGTTATGTACTTGTTGATGATGTACTTAAACATCGATCATTTGCTAATAAATATACAATCGATGATATTCATCAATGTGTTGCAACAAATGAAAAAAAACGATTTGGTCTTAAAATAGACGAAGCAACAGGTAAAGAAATGATTCGTGCACATCAAGGTCATTCATTAGAAGAAGCCGATATTGCTATGAAAGAAATAACAGATCCAAATGAATATCCTACTGTATTACATGGAACTTATATGAGACATTGGCCATCAATTAGAGATAAAGTATAATAGAAAAAAAAAATTCTGATTTTGTTATTATTCGTATTGTTTTGTTTTTGTCAAGGGATTATCAAAAATGAATCGAACGCGTATTCATTTTGCTCCTGGATTACCTAAACAATCAGGTGTTATTAGTGGTATGTAGAATTTCATTAAATTTGATTTTAAAGAAGATTTTATTTATGTTAAAAGGAATGCGATCAAATGCTGAATTATATATTTATATTGATATGGAAAAAGCCTTGAAAGGTTAGATTAAAAACTTAAATTTGATTGTTCTTTTTTTTTCATGAATTATTTATTGTTCTTTTAGATGGTTTTAAATTCTTTGTATCAAATAATAATGTTATACTTTGCTCGGGTAATGAAAATGGTTTTATACCACCTCGTTATTTTCGTTTAGTTGAAAATCGACATGGTGAACAATTATCATTACCTATTGATTCATTTAAAACAAAAACTTCTAATGAGTAATTCTTACTTGTTCTTTTGATTTTTTTCTTTACCAATACGATAAAGAAAACTTCGAATAAGAACAAAAATATCAGGTTTATTTTTATTAGAAAATAATGGTTTTTAATATAAATTGATGATTTTGATAGAACATATTTTGTGACATAAATATCAATAATCAAGAATAACTGAATTGACTTGGTTTGTTTTCTTCTTTCATTTTCGAAAAATAAAATTTTGGGTACTTGTTTTTATTAAAAGAATATATTATTTCGATCGATTCAAACTACATCTTTCAAAATTCAACAAAGTTTTATTATATGAATCGTGTGACTTCAATTTTGATATTCTCATTTGTTTACTCTCTTTAATATTTTTAGTTTTTTATTTCTTGTAAAACAATTATAGGAAGATTTAGAGATAGAAATATTACAAGGTTCATTTCTATGTAATCATTATTTTACTAAGCAGTAAAGGATGGACTAAAATTTTCGACCTCGATCTGTAAATTAACGTTATCGCATATGCAGATAGTTCACTGAAATACACGGCTTTTTAAGGAAGATTAAAACTATAATCTGAAAAGAAAATAGTTCGAATTACATCGATATCATGAAAAGTTATGGTTGTTATATTGACCATGACTAAATATTGTACATCTTAGAGTTTTTAGCAAAAACAAAAATATGTTTGTAATATTTGAAGCAAAATATTGTTTTCTAGTGAGTTTTATATGATTTAATGGAATTCAACAAGCTCTACGAGAATATGAATATCAGAAAAATTTTGATCTTATTTCCAATACAAAACTTGGAAGAAACTAAAAGAGACTAATAAAAATATAATCTATCCAGCATTAGAGACAATAAACTGAACTTTTAATAACCTTAGCTAATCTACTGCTACTGCTGCGTCTATTTCTGTAATTCGGGAAAATTATTCTTAGCTTCATTATGTAACACTACATCTCGAAACATTAAGTATCAGTCGATCAACAAATGTTATTGAAAGTTATGCATACTCTCTCGTGCAACGTATGTGAGATGTTTTTTAGTTAATCTGACTTCCTCTATGTTTTGTATTGAAAACACGATAAGAAAGTTTTTTTATGTTCATATTCTTTGTAGAGCCTGTCGAACTCTATCGAATCAAGTAAAAATATCTAGAAATTAATATATCACTCTACTTTAATTTCTCAGATATTCCAAGAATATTTTTATTTTTTGCCAATAAATGTTAGATTCAAAATACTTAGCCATGGTTTTTACAAAACTATGCATATTAATCAACTATTTACATATGTACTTTGCATAAATGAAGTCCTTTTACAGAGAGGAGTCGACACCTTTGGACTACGGTCTAGTTTTTGATCAAATGCACTCACCAAAAGAATATTTTCTAATTAAAGAGATTCGACGAGCGTCGAAGCTGAACTCTTATTAAAGAAAAATTCTCACTTCAAAGACAAATGAATGTATCAAAATATTGTTACATTCTACTTTTGAAGTAAATACTAAATAATAGTTTTAAAAATTTGTTTTGATCTACTTCCGTACAACAGAGAAAAAATTTTCGTATTTATTCGTTATTAAGTTCGCCTATCTTTTCGTCGAAAAACATATAGCATTTACATAGGTCCATCTTTTTGAAATTATCATTTCACTTAAGTTCAATGTTGTGTCATATTAGTTCAAGACAAAATTAAACAAACTCTCTTGTTAGAAGTTCAATAACATAAACGTATTGAAAAGGGATTATATCATTTAAAACCAGGAATATTACAGTTCTGTCATTATTAAGAAACAGTTTTTCTTTTGAACAATGTTTTCTCTTTTGTTATAATTAATTTATATAGTGCGTATGATCTTGTCTTAAAAATGAAGGGTACAATAGGTATTTTAAATATCTGTTTAAAAATATGTAAGTCGGTTCCAGGAAGATAGTATCTGAAATTCATGAACTTGAATGCGATATTCTGTATTGAAAAAGCTTCGAATTTTTTCGATGACTTCCGACCAACTTCTTGTTTGTTTTTCCACTAGAAAACAGTCGGACGGCATCATACAAACCCGTAGACTTCTAGACCTGGAGTACTACATACAAGTTCTGTTGATTTTCGGCACTTTTCTATCGAATATGATAAGTTTTCTGACAGGTTCTGGCAAAACTGGCTTGTTTTCGAAACCAGGAATTATTGATCGAACTGGTTACAATTATGGTTTTAAAAGAATGAATAAATAAAATCACAGGTTACATTATTCTTTGCGGTGTGATTTTTATTTCTCATTTACATTTTGCAAACATTTATAAATTCTTGTTAAAACAAAATAGTTACAAAAAAAAGAAAAACAATAATTTCAAGATTTATTGTAGTTGATGTGTATCTTTAATAAAACTACATCGTAATGATGAACAACAGTCATAATGATACGCACAAGGTCAATGTATATGTGTACATTAATGACGAAAATATAAAGCATTGTGATTTCATTGATGTTAATTCTTTTTTTGAAACAATAAATATACTGAATGGATGGCGAAGAATAATGATGGCAACCATCAAATGCTTTATTAAGTGTGTGAATGAATCAAGTGATTGATGTTTATATATGATTCTCTGTTGCTTATGCAAGAATCACAGTATTATCGAATTCTTGTTTATTTAGAAAAGTAACGAAAAAGAAACATTTTGTTCTTGAATTTCATAGCCAAAAAGTCTGACTTGTTCTTGTTGTAAAATATTGTCATGTTCCGTTGATGATGGACAATAGTTAACTTAAGAAAATTAATTTATTCACATTAAAAAAAATTACCAAAGTTCGACATTGTACTTCAATACGAAAGCATATTTCTGTTTCAAAATTATTATGTTAAGCTTCATTATTAATAACTATGAGTTTAAAATTTTTTTTATAAAATTGATTTTTTTCATCATTTGATAAAATTTGAACATTTTTTGGAATGTCATTATATGAATGTTGAATACATTTCATTTTTATAAGAATAATTCAATTGTGTAGAAAAACTTTTTCTTTTGTATTTTTATTATATGGTGATCTTTCATTAGGTGTTGGATTACATATTTTGCATGTACATTGAGGGAAACAGTAAAATGTTTTACGAAGACATTCTTTCATTCGGTAACCATAATTAAGTTTGATTTTTGGGTATTCGTGAGTTTTCGTGTATGGCTTGTAATATTTCATATTCTTTCTTTTTAACATCAGTTGAATATTCAATTAAAATGATATCTGCAACAGGAATATATCAAGTTTTTTTCTCGATTTCTTGTCGATCTGTATTAGCTGGGCTTAGTGAATAAGAATAAGATCTATTTCTATTTAATATATTCTTTTCTAGATTTTTTCTATTCAAAGTCGTAGTTATTTGAGTAGTTCTTTTTCCAACTTTACTATATGTATGTAAGAAAATAACAAGACTGGTACATTGGTTTCTCCCAAAGATTAAATATAGTGAGCGAATGTACGTGTAATATAATTTAACGTAACATAATCATACGGTTTTTCTATTGATAAAATTATAGGTACAATGACTTCTCTCTGAGCATTTATAAGAATTCTGTATGAAACCAAGTTTTTTGTAGCAACAAAGAAAATATTAGCCATGTTTTCTGATTTTACTTTCCAATGAAATTGCTTTTGAATACTTTTATCAATTCTAAATGACCTTTAATTTGTTCGGATATCTAAGTTTACTTTGAATGTGAATTTGTTCAAAAAAACACAACAGATGAAAAGACAATCTTAATGTCATGAAATAAAAGTTCTGAAAATTAGAATCATATGAACAGAAGAACTCGAAACTCCTGTTCGTACCGCCGATGATGAAAAAATCATTCTATTTTGACACGATGCCACAATCTTTCTAAATATAAAAGCAACACAAATTGAATTTATTTAAAACAAGACAAGATCAAAATCGATACCCAAATGCAATTGAACATTGAGAAAATGTTAAACATGATTGTTGATTACATGTTACACTATTACATCCTAATAATGGATTTATATTAATAATTGATCGGAATGTTGGAATACAATTTTCATTATCATCTAAACAACATTCACAAGTACATTCTTTTTGTTCACCTTGATATTCTATTGATTTGGTATTTTCATAAAGATGGAAGAAAAATAGTATGGTAATAATGATTAATTGCATACTTTCGTGTTCTTCAAGTTGATTAATAAGAGCGCCTTTGATCATTAACTTTATTTGTTCATAAATAATAAAATGTTTTCCAATTAAACAAACTTCAATGAAAAGTTTACTTTAGAGTACGGACAACCTGTTCACAGACAATCTAATACAAACGCGAAGAAAATGTATGTATTCTTACAATATTTAAAAAAAAATAGATTGATTTGTAAAATATTTTTTAAATTATCTTATGTCAGTCATATTTATGCAATTTATTATAAGTATTTATAATTTTTATGCGTAAATTCAAAACAATAACATATGTGCATAGATATACATGTCATGAACGCATACATGCAAACACAATTTTTTTTAACTTTTCACTGAAATATATGAAACTATGCGCGACTAGTATTTTAATAGACATTATCATCTGCTGCTTTTGTGTGTTAATTCTAAATCTATTATGCATATATAAATGAAAAAATATCATCAGGATATACTGGCAAATTGATAGAACTTAGTGAAGCCTTACATTTCAAATCGAAAATTTGCATTAACATAGAAAATGTCATTTTTTCTCTAGGGCAAATACTAACTCATACAAAAATTTTGTTTTGTCTTCGGTATGTCATTATTTATTTCTCATTAAAATAAATTTTCTTTGTCTAATAGTTGTCAGCACTCATTTACACATATATCTAAAAGCTACTGGAAGTTCACTATATGCAATAGTTTTGTACTCAGTTGTAATAATAATAGTAGATAGTGGAATGACAAAGCAAGTTATTTTATGAAACAAATTGGGTTGGTTTGGAATATGACATTGAGAAAAAGGATTTCGGTACTTCATACAAGTCATTCAAATTTTGGTTATCGAAGCCTTTTTTTTTTATTTGCACATGCAACAATATTCACATATTAACATAGACATTTTCTACAATAAAAATATTTGTATATTCTTTCATGCGATAATATTAACGTGTTTTTGAGCAAATTTTTATGCTTGGTAACTTGAATATGATTTAATCTTTGACACGTTCATATATATGTCATGTCATAATGATTTATGCATATAATATATAGGGACAGTATTATCGCGTGGTTATATGTGTTCTTTTTTTTTCTTGATTACAAATGCGTGATTATTAAAATTCTTGTAGTGATTTTCATATCAGGATTCATTTATTAGAGAAAAAATTTCGATTTAAATATTAACTGATTTTCTTTCATAAAAAGTGTTTTTCAAAATCATTCTTTTTCTTTTCGTTATTTTTGTTGATAATTAATAGTTAATAAGTTCTCAATGCAGATCAATTAGTATCAAGAGAACATCAAAAACGCATTTGATATATTCAAGATTCTATCAAAGATATGTATTTCTATTGTTTCATGTTTTGTTTATTCGTTATTACCTGTTGACTACTAAAACATTCTTCGTTAGGGTACATAGCTCTTTTTACCCATTTCTATTTCTTGAAGAGATAGCAAAGAAAAGAATAAATTTCTTATTCTTTCTAATAATTAAGATATCAACAAAGTTAATAATAATTGACAAGCCAGAAAAAGAAAGAACGAACAACTAGATCAAGTAAATGTCAATAGAATTATAAACAATTTTCTTTTCTTCTTTCATTATATCATTATTGTATTAATATATGTTACACAAAAAGAAAACCAATGTTCTACTCATTAATTTCATCGTTTTTATTGTAATGATTCAAGACAAGAATGTTATCTGTCTTATATCTTTTATTGTGGTCTTTCTTTATATCTTGTTACACGCATCGTCAGTCAAACAAAAACAAGATATAATAAGAGATTGTCGTTTATTGTTTTTCTTATTCTTATTAAATAAGACCTAATAAAGCAAACAATTTCTCATATATACATCTTCACTTGATGACAGCATCCTAACATCATCGTTTTTTTTCCAAAATTGTCCTACTGCCCACTAGAGATTATGTTCCACAATGGATGACAAAGTGCATGATGTAGATTGACGTACTAACGAGCTGCCAAATGCTTGTTTGCTGCTTAAAAGAGAAGAGAGAGAAACGAGCGGACGAGAGGCGAATAAGAGTGTAACCTCACCGACTGATTTTTTTCGGCTCAATATTATTATTTGTAATAAAAAGCTATAGAAGAGAAAAAATGTTAGCGCAATGAAGTGATCGTCATCGATGATGATGCAGCAACTCCATCATTTATGCCATAAAAACTGAGACCCAAAAAAACAAAAAATGACATGAACATAATGGTAAGTACGTCGTTCTTTTATCGCTACAAAAAGAAAACAAAATCTGATAAAACTTTGCCTTTTACACTCATAGTTGCATATTTCACATTATGAATATAAAATTAACTTTGAGAACACGTTATGAAAAAGATAATTATTGAAATAAGCTCTTTTTTTTTCTATATATATATATTAGTTAACAAGGTTCTGTGGCATAGTTATATTACATTGTGTTAACTAATTTGGTAATGGCTTTTTTTCTCTTCTAATATAATCAAAATATATAACATATGAATGATTGGTGATGAGACATGCACAGAAGAAAAAGAAACAGAAAAATACAAAATACAAAATATTTTGACTCGTTGTCACTAAGACAATAATCAATGTTATTAATCTAAATCATTTTCGGTTGAAAAACAATACATTGACACCTAAGCAAAATAAAATAAGTACAATGATATGCCCAATTGACATGATGACGCAAAATAATGATTGTGGTGAAACAACATTAATATATCCAAAACTGATCTCGTTTACTCAATATTTTATTGTATGTTATAAAAAACCGGCAAATGTCTTATTCAAGTTTTGCATAATTTTTCTTATCAATTTGATTTTTCATATATTAATCTTTATAAGTATGTCTTTTATTACTTAATATCATTTGGTATAAATGTCATGCGTTCAACATTTTCTTTCCTTGATTGATCAAAAAAATACGAAAAATGAGTATATATGTATTTAAGATTGAAGTGTCCTTTTCTGTCACTATCGTCACTTGTTCTTTCCTTTTTTTTATCGTTATTTACTGATCAATCATGGGTGTTTTTTTTTTTTCGTTTTTTTCTCTCGTATATGTATGTATACAGTGCAGGTGATGATTCGTTCTTCGCCAGCTCTGTTCTGTTCACTAGTTTATTGTAGTATGATCGTTACAACATACATACATACATTAATCAATATGCGTATACGAATACAAACGAAGCAAAAATTAGTATGTTACTCATGAATGCATTTTATTATTTACGACATACATATCGCTTCATATTACGTTAACTCATGTAAATTTAGATCTATCGGCATTCCGATATGTTAGTTTATTTTATTTTGTTCTTGATTTATTTCAATAGTATTTCAATAAGCATCAATGAAGAGAGCTAATAATCAGTTAACAAAGTAGGAACAAAACTTTTCTTAATATTAAAATAAATAAAGAAAAAACTTCTTATGGAACAATTTTGAAATTAGTCGAAAGAAGCAGGAAAAATGTAAAAATAAAAAACAAGCAAAATTTGGAAGAGTAGTTTCTGGGTGAGGACACTCAGATTCTTTTCATCCGAAAAAAAAAAGAAAGAACACATACATCCAAAACGCATAAAAATATTTTTCTTCTCACCACCCGTTCTCTCTCTCTCTTTCTCTTCCTATACGATTATAGCTTGTAGGATAATGTATATTTGTCGTCAATGTTTCAAATATATATATATATATGTCATCGTCAATTGTTAACGCCATGAAGTGCAAGTTTTAGTTTTATTTTAAAGGAAACAATTTTTAACATTAATTATCAAATTAAACAATTTTGTTTTTGCCAAAAAAAAAATTTTCATTTATTTTAACGTGCAGCTTTTTGTTTTCTTTTTTTTATTAATATGTGTTCATACACGTGTAAGAGTCACTTCAGACCTATTCTCTAGATAAATAGAATTACAAACATATTTACTAAGTTTTTTCTGTGTTTTATTAAAAAAATCACCATAGATGAATTTTTTTATCTTAAATCTATTTGCTCGGATAGATCTATATAACTTTTTTTTTCTCTTTTTTACTTTTAGACTGAAATATAATGATAATAAGATGACACGTAATAATAAATCTGAGCTAACTTATTCTCCAAGTCGTTCAACAACAAATACAAGCTTTACTGATGACAACTTTATTAATTTACCTGATCTCTCCAGCTTAAAAGATAATGAAAAACAGCATATATTGAATGTTTTAGGACGTGATGAAATTCTTCGTAGTAAACATTTATCACGTTTTATGTATGTACATATATGAGTTATATGTATAGTAAAATACATTTTTATAATTTAGGCAATTAAGGAAAGAAGTCAATGAACTTGAACAACAATCTCAACCAACATCAACATCTGTATGTGCTCGATGTCAAGCACCATTCGGTTTTATATTTAACACAGGTGCTACATGTCCAAAATGTGGTGCAAAAGTTTGTAAACAATGTCGACTTATGTATAATGTTAATGATAACGGATGGTTATGTCAATTGTGCTGTAAACAAATGTAGGTTTAAAAGAAAATAAGACAAAAAAGAAATATTCCGACGCCGGGAATCGAACCCGGGCCTCCTGCGTGAAAGGCAGAAATCCTAACCACTAGACCACGTCGGATACATTTATATGTTCAAGAGAGAATTCTTTTAAATAATTCTAATATGATTTGTTTTAGGCAATTACTAAGTTATTCTGGTGAATGGATATATACTTTTCGAAGTAATCTTCGTAAAGATTCATTAACTGCATCAGAACTTATACGCAATTCACTTTCACCCACAATTTCCATTCCAAGTTGGATTTATACATTATTCTATTCTAATAATATTCATTATTTTGTTTTTTAATAGATTTAAATCAAATATCAAGTTCGGATACTGAAACTGAAGATGTTACCAGTCCATCGAATATAATATATTCATCGTTGCAACAAAATAAACTTAATCAAAAGAATTCAAATAATAATATCAATCGAATGATTGTTCAAACTATAACAGATGAAGAAAAATTGAGTTCCATTAAAAAAAATGTTCGAAAACGTCCATTTAGTATTTCCCCAACTCAACCAATATCTCCAAATATTCGTCAATTTTCACCTTCAAATCTTCTAACAGGTGGTTCATCAGATGATGTTGATTCATTATTTGATCAATCAACAAATTATACAGATCGTACATCATCATCAAGTATTCGTATGAATACAAATGATAAATATCGAGAAAGAAGTTCATCAACACCAAAAAGTATCCATTCATTAACAACAATGCAAAATGAACGCAATCAAATAACTAATAATGATATAGACAGACGTCCAGTTGATTGTGCATCTGTTACATCATCTGAATGGGGTGCAGAGTCAGAAAGAGGTGAACCAAATTTACCACCACAAGATACTTCAATAAAAAGTAAATTAGAAAAAATTAAATTAAAAACAACTAATTTTCGTTGTTTTTTCGATGCAATTTTCTAGATAATTCAAAACACAGTTTAAGATCACGTATGAATCTTAGTGGTTCAATTCAAAGTATACGTGATGTTGTACATCGTATTCCAAAATCAAAACTATCAACATCACGTACATCAATAAATTCTGAACAAAAACCTAAATCTGAAACTTTAGATACAACATCTTCGAAAATACCTAACGAACAAAGCAACTCAGGTATGTATCCGACGTGGTCTAGTGGTTAGGATTTCTGCCTTTCACGCAGGAGGCCCGGGTTCGATTCCCGGCGTCGGAATAATTTTATTTTTTTTCGTTTTTTTTTCTATCGAACATATTTTTTCCATACACATAATTATACATCTATCAACTATAGTAAATATACATTCGTATGGTTATTATTATGCAAAGATATATCTACAATTATTCGGTATTTTGATTACCCTTAATGAGCATAGCACATGTTGTCTACCTAGATTTCGTTTTCATTTCTATTTATTGGAAATTAATTAATCGTAAGCGATTAACTAGACTTTTGTTTCTCGGCATAGTTATACAAATAGAAAATATATCAGACTACTGGACAATCATATTCAAGTGAACAAAAGCATACTTTTAGAGATTTATTTATCAATCGTCTTCATCATTATCTATATATCATAAAAGGCATAGATAACAATATCTTCACTCCATCGGATATTAATACTAAAGAATAAGAAAAAAAAAGGCTTTTTCTTATGACGTCAATAACACTTGGTAAAAAACAAAGATAGGAACATATTCATATTTACTCACAAATTACTAACATTGCCTATACCCTTACATGAATAAATGGTCACACTTGAACGAACATGGTTAAATTAACAACAACTATTTTTTGTAATGTATATATTTTGCACGTGAAAACTTCGTCGCTATTTATTCTATACAACACAAACAAGTCGTAGTCGAAAGTTAAACTTATTTATTCAAAATATCTATATGGAACATTGATTTGTTCCTATGAAAACATCATGACCGAACTTTATTCACATGAAGGTCAACAACAAGAAGAACTATCTAATCAATCAACAATAAAAATATCGAGATTTTCTTCATCAACAAACAATCATTCATATATTAATAAAAATTTAAATGATCATAACAATGAAAATGACATCTATAAAGAAGCTTTTGTAGTTCCAGTAACTCAACATTGGAAACTACAAACATCAGATGAACAACAATCAGTAAATAATCAATTTTCTCAAACATTTATTGATCCACGTTCATTAACACAATCAACACACCCTAATACTGTTTTCAATATGTCCAATGAAAATCTATCAACTTATACTGATAAGAATAGTAATAAAGATGAATTACCAACAATTATTGACGAATCAGAAAAACCAGCAATAAAAATGAAAAAAAGAAATACGCCAATACCTAAATCTCATCCACGTCGAAGACATAATTTAAATAACACTACAATATTAAATGAATCATCGAATTCTCAAGTACTTACAAATCATAACAAAACAAAATTTCTTGAAACGAACAAATCAATAAAAAAGACTCAAAAATCGATACCTGTTTTTATTCCACCAAAAAAACCACCAACACAATCATATATATTTTCTTCTATAATTCCATTTGATGATTCACTTCAGATTAAACAAAAATCAATTAACAAACAACAGAATACTTTTGCTAATAATAATTATAATAATGATGATGATGATGATCATAATTCTTCGTCAATTATAAACTGGACACCGCCGTCATCAACATCACCAGTAAATTCTCATATGCAATCATCAAGTAGTTTAGATGATGAAAATTCAGATGATGAAAGTTTATTTATACAAAAAACAAAATCTAAAATAAAAGATCGAAAAATTCATTCATCATTTCCAACTTATTGTAATATTCCAGTAGCTATATTCATTACTGATCCCACTGGACATTCGTATAAATTCAATCCAGATACTGATATACTAGAAAAATATAATAATGATGAAGTTTTTGATGATGATTTAATTCTAACTGATACAAATGCATTGTTTCCAAATACTGTATACGATATTTCTTCATCACCCGATGTTACAACTATATCACCGGTATCGTCAACAGTTCTTGATAGACACAGTTTACAAAGTATTGGTGAAGAAGAAGACGAAGAAGGAAGTGAACATGATAATCATAATATATTTTCAAAAGAACTTGATCGTATTGAAGCATTGGCTCGATCACGTGAAATGAATTTCAATCCACCAAATAAAGATCATGATCATACTCAACATAAAACTGATAAAGAATTAGTAGGTCGACGATGGAGTGATGGTGATTCTGGTCAAGAAGATGAAGAGCGAACTTCAACAACAAAGTCATCAATGATGAAAACATCAAGTGCAATATCTATTACAAAACCAAGTGATACTATACCCGTTAAATTATCGATAACAAAATATATTCTTATGAAATTACATTTAAAATCAGTAAATAAAGATGATGAATCGAATATATCATCATCAACAACAAATTCCAAAAAAAAACGTACTGTACGCCGTTCAACGGACAAAAAACGTTATCAAACACAATAAAACATTTTTTGTTTCTATATATTTGTACTTTCCGTTTTCTTCATCTATATAAATTAAATTTTTTTCATTTTTGTATTATAATTTTTTTCATTTTTTATCTATGCAGATTCTCGTACAAAATTATCACCAATAAATGATTCAAATTCAAAGTCCCAGTCAAATACTAATATTTATGAATCCTCAAATAATCTAGCATCAAATGAACTAATTCAAAGAGAAAAATCAACAACTGATAGTATTCAATCAACAAATAATTCTTATCGTTTCAATAATAATAATAATAATAAACCGACAATAGGAGAAAAATTTGGTAGTGTTGGAAATCTTGATAGAATTGATAGTGATGATGATGATGATATTGATGGAAATTTTGAAAAGGCTAAACTGGTAAGTGAAAAAAAGCAAGAGAATGAAATTATTTTTATTAGAAAACAAAAAAAGAAAAAAAGGAATAAATGAGGAAATTTGTTTTTAATAATAAATGCTAATATTCCTAAGCTGTTGAGAATATTGCACTCTAGGGTTTAGTAAATCGTACAACTTCCTGTGTGGATATGCGTGTAAGTTTGTAAGCAATGCTTGATTGAATTTTTAATGCTTTTTCATACTAACACAGTGATTTATTCTTATATTTATTGTACATAAATTATTTCTTTTAGGGTTCACTATCAAGTATAAATACGACATTAAGTGAAAAAAAAGCTCATTATGGTCTTGATATATCTGGTACAATTGAATTAAAATTAACATATACAATATCAACAGGTGCATTAGACATTTTAATATATAATTGTAAAAATTTAGCTCGAGCAAAAAGAAATCAAACATCGGACCCGTAAATATTTTATTTTTTAATTGATAAATCTATTTAGTCGTATTAACTTTTTAATTTAGTTATGTTAAAGTTTATTTATTACCTGATCGTTCAAAAAATAGCAAACGTAAAACATCAACTAAAAAGAATACTATTGATCCAGTTTTTGAAGACAAACTTCGTGTAAGACTGTTTTATTTTCTTGTTCTTATAAAAAATTTTTGACGAAGTATACTTTATTATTATCAATAGTACCATGTAACTAAACAAGAATTTGAAACTCGTGTTTTATGGATATCAGTATGGAGTCAAGCAATATTAGGACAAAATAATTTTCTGGGTGAAATTCATATTCCATTATCTAATTGTACATTAGATAAAACCCAACAATATCAATTATTAGCTGAAAAACAAAAAAATGATGTAAACTTTTTATTTTATTTTGAAAGAAGACTGGTTGTTATTTTTTGTTTTGAATATAGTTAACACCAATTGGTGAACCAACAGTGGACTCAGGTGAAATACAATTTCAATTAACATTTATTGAAAATCCAAAACATAAAGACATTGGAACATTACAAGTACATTATATTCAAGGAAAAGCTATTTTTTATGGTAAACGTCAAGTTGATGCTATTTGTAAAGGGTAAAAAACAGTTACTTTATCTATATTTAATTAGAATTTTATTTTAATTAGTGTATTAATGCCTGATTATGTTAAACGAAAAATACCAGCCATACGTAAAGGTCCAACACCTAAATGGGAAATGCCATTACGATGGGATGGTGTACGTCGTGATAATTTAGAAAATATATCTATTGAAATAAGTATTTGGTCTCAAGAACGTTTTCGAACGCTAATGATTGGTTTTGTACGTCTTAATCTTGCAAGAGGACATTTTGATAATAAACCAGTTAAATGGTCAGATGCAACAAAAGTAGAAAAATCAGCTTGGGAATCATTTCTTCGTCGACCAACGGAAATACATCATTTTAGACTTCCATTAAGACCAGCAACTACTGAAAATAAATAGTTTACTAAACGTTTACAGTCGGTGCTTTATTATCATCATTATTATTATGATTATTATAGATAGCGACAGATCGATAAAGTATTTTCAAAACAAAAAACAAATTCGAGTTGTTTTTTTTATGTGCTTTTCATTCAAGAAGGTGCTCTTATTTTCCTAAAGAATTCAATAAACGTTTCTTTAATCTAAAAATGTTCATAAATTTTACTAGTTCAACCAACCGTTGTTCTTGTTGGTTGCACATTCTAAGGGTCTACACTTGTATTTTGAAAAGCTGCAAAAAATTTATACTGCTCTTGTGGTCTATATGAGCTAGCTGTGACTTAAATAGTTTGTCCACTGACCATATATCTAATATCTAAATAGATTTAATTTGCTTTTATAAGTTATAATACTGAGAAAGCATCATTGAAATTTAATATTGGCAATGTGTTGTATGGTTATTATGATAGAAATATTAATTAAATCAAGAGAACAATTCACTGCTACTTCTTTATAAGCATGTCAAAAATTTATTTTGAGTAAAACAGAATCATCAGCTGTAAAGTTAGATTTGAATTGAAAAAGAAATGCAATTGAAAATTTTTCATTTTTTTTTCTATAGATAATGAGGAGATTTTTAAACACCGACATTGGTGTAGACGATCCACTTGTAACACTACTTGTCTGAAATGAAGCAAGATATATTATGTAATATAATACCAAGCATTTAACTAACTAATGAATTCAATGAACTAGATATCCTGTTTCGATTGGTTGCTGTTGTAGTGATACTACAAACTGAAGACATAAATATTAGATCATTGAAACTCAGAGATTTGCTACATGAATAAGACTTCTGTAGTAGTAGTACTAATTGTTGTATTTAATATCGATTTTCTTGATTACGGTGATTATCTCACTTGAAATGATCTGACCAGTAATTATAGCTACTGCTATGAAAGTATGTGTTCAATATAGCCTAGTAGAATCTTTTTTCTCTAGATCATACAATAGAAATACTCATATCTTTTTCAAAAAATCTGAAATTTGACTTTAAATCTCTGTGATTTAATTGATAGTTCTTTAGATCATGTAAATGTATCTCTGTGATATATACGTAGAAATTATTTTAATAAAGAATGAATAGTTGAATAAAAGTTTTATTTTTAGTCGGTATTGTATTGCATTTAGACCAAATGATATTATCGGACGTTCTCACATTTTTGTTGAATTAAAATCAATAAATAACTTGAAAAATATATAGTCTATTTTTCTGCACAAGAAAACAAATGAATTTTTTACATGTCATGGTACATTCCTTGTTAACAGTTCAATTCACTGTTATTAGTTGTAATGTTGATAAATAATATTAGAAGAACTAAAATGCACCTGATTAATCATTCGACTTTTACCGTTTACATGAGAAAAAAAAAACATTTTGTATTAAGAATGAAGAAAACTTAAATTAACATTTCATGAAGTTCAAAATTAAGGCTAATAAAAAAAAAGTGTTTTTGTAGCATTGACGCATGCAATATCTTCTAAACAATGTTTATTGCTTTCGAAATTCACTTTATTCTTCATCATATATACTCAATGAGACCCAATTTAACAATCCACTCAAAAAAAAGTCGCATTGACATGATCTAATACTTCACATAAAAACGTGATGTTTTTTTATTGCCCTATGATGTAATAAAAGTCTTTGCAAAACAACAACATGAAAGAGAGGAAAATATTATTAGATAATAATGTCATTGCTAACCTTATCAATACGTGTTTCTAAGAGAACAAATAAATTCACTTATATGAATGAAAAACTACATGATTGATTGTTTTAAGATCTACAAATACAACTTTACATTCAAGTACAGTTGATTTCTGAACAAATAAAACAACGGTTGAATTTCTCTGTAAGAATGAAACTCTGAGTTTATCTAACGTCGGTAGTTGTTATAAATGTAACAAAATCTCTTGTCAAAATATTAACATTTTCCGTTCAGTCTCTAAAATAAGATGACATTTATACTTATACTTATACCCATGAAACAAGAAGCCTATTTCAAAAGCCTGATAATATTTTCCTCTTTTATTTCTTTGTCATGTAACATTAAAAATCTATGAACACAATAAATGACCAGAGCAAAAGTGTTGTATTCATCATTTTAAACTGTTCCGAAAACAAACTTATGACTCAGCAAACTATTGTATCTCGCACTGTTTAGTTATCAGCACTTCTCATATGGATTCATAGGGGGCGAAGTCATGAGGCTTGGAGAGACTCAAAACATTTGTTTCTCGCTCCGTTAAATTGAGAGATTTATGTAGTCTATCAAAATTCTTGTACAAACGTCAAAATATTTCACCGCCTTCAGTGGCAAATAGGAACATTTTCGTAGTGAAGCCGACTTAGGAAATTATGTTTTTGAAGAAATAGTGAATTTCGTATGATTAAGTGTGGGACACCAAATTATCAATGACTTGAAGTACCATTCGTTTGTTACAAGTGAAGAAGAACTGTACGAGAAATTCGAGTTAGATACATTAAAAACTACTGAAAGTTTTCTTCGCCATTAATGGCTAAACTTATATGCCTAACAAACATTTCCAACAAAATGAGCAAACCTACCATATAATTTTTTTTTCTTTCAACATTGCTGCTTTACCATTATTCTGTCTTGCACTAAAGTAGATCGAAAACTTTTCTTTCCAGAGTTAAAATTAGATAAAGATCAATATGTTAGCGTGTTTCGGTACGCGCATGTGTTTTTTGCCACAAGTTGTGAATTTTCTCTGAAAAGTACCAACTTTATATAACGCAAACTGTAAGTTTGAAATAAGAAACACTAACGTGAATGGCATAAAAAAGATTCAATCCTCCTGTCTGTTCTTAATTCCCCGAAGAAGATCTTATACAGATTGTTGAGCCCGCTCTAGTTTTAAAATGTTCTGTAGCCTATATATAAGATTTCTCTAGTTTCAATTATCTATCCATTAATTATTGTTACAAAACATGTACAATAAAAGCTTATCATGCCATTGGGAAGAGGCGAAATGCAGCAACGATTAGTTCAAGTACTGATCATTCTGAATTCTCTAATTATTGGAAACAATTAACAAATATTGTGTCTATTGACTAGTGACATCTTTCAATCATTATTTATTTTCTTTGCTATATTTTCAAAGAATATTAATTATTTATATTCAAATATAACTGGTCAATAATAATTAATATATGAAAATCTTATTGGTTAAGATTCTATTCTAATGTGACTCATGAATAAAAAAAGCTTCCTGTCTGTCGGTCTCAATGATTTATTCGAACACTATAGTTCATTCACAAGTTGTTTTTTTTCTATGACTAATTTTTCCTACCGTCATTGTCTTTACAACTATATTTAATAGATTTTTTATACTAAATTCAACCCTCAGTCATCATTGTTCAATATGGAAAAACTAAAAGAATTATTTCATACAAAAACACCAAAAGAAATCATGCAAGAAAATAAACGAGCGATTCGACGGGCAAGACGTGAACTTGAACGTGAAAAAAATCGTTTAAATAATGAAAAGACTAGAAATGAGAATGAAATTCGAAAATTAGCTGCTAAAGGCGAACAGGTATATTTATTGATTTTAAAGTATATCTCATTTAATATTCTTCGATAACCAGAAAGCTTTACGAACATATGCAAAAAATATAGTTAGTCAACGAAATCAAATAAATAAATTAGGTGCTATGGATGCAACATTATCAACACTTGAATCTGAAGCATCATCAATGAATGCTCAAATGACAATGGCTAGTGTTATGGTTAAAACAACAAAAACATTAGCAAGATTAAATCGAATGGTTTGTTTTTTGCTTATTTTATTTTGTATAAACATTTAATCAAATATTTTTTCGATTAAGATGCCATTACAAGATTTTCAAAAAACGATGCAAATGTTCGAACAAAATATGACTGCTAATAATATTAAACAAGAAATGATGAATGATGCTATGGATGCTGCTTTTGAAGGTGATGAAGATGAAGAAGCAACGTAAGAAACAGAAACAAAGGAGTTTCTTTTAATTTAATTCAAAATTAATTTTCTAGTGACGAACTTGTCGATCAAGTACTTAATGAACTTAATATAAATATTGCTGAACAAATTCCTAGTAAGTTATTCGAAATAAAATATAAAAAGAAATAATTGATTGATTGGATTTTATCGTAGCCGCACAAAATGGTGCTTTAACAGGGCGTGTAGCTAATCCTGGTCAAGGACAACAAGCACAAGCAATATCAACTGCTGATGCCGATTTAGAAGCTCGTTTAGAAGCTTTACGACGAAATTAAGTGATGATTATTTGTATAGAACACAATTCTTTTTGATAATCAAAAATAAACCTTTAATTTCTCGTTACTTTTTCCTTTAGCCAGTTTGCTTATTTTTGTTTTTTCTTCTGTATATCCAACAAAAAAACTATTCTACCTATGAGATTTTTCTTGTCTATAGTTTTACTTTATTAAAAAGACTAACGACCAATATATATATATATATATAAGCATTATATGTATCTGATTTGTTTTTTTGTGTATTCAATCTAAGTAAACATCATTAATATAAAAGAGAATGAAATTCTATGATTCTCATTATGTATAAGTAGTGCTTAAGAAAAACTAGGAACTGCAAACAAAGACTGATACTCATTGCAAGAACATATCTGAAAGAAAAAAAACAAATGATTAGGATGGATAAAATTTTCATAGTAATTTGCTTGTGTTACATTGAAGTATTCGAAAAATATAAAGATTGAATAGAAAAATCAGCATGGTTATTTATTCAAAAACAAAAGACAAGAGATGCAATTATAGTTGATTCGAATTGTTCGCTTCGTTTAGTGTGTATTTATACTCTATAAAAAAATAGAAGAAATCAGCACTCAAGCAGATAGATATTTCGAAAAATACGTTTTACAGTAGTTTTTCGTTTGTATATCTGCTTGAATAAAATGTGGAAATATAATCGCATCTTGAATGTTGTGTATATAGTAAATGTATTAATTTAATAAAAGTACTTGACAAACATAAATACATTTGCACTTATTGATGTTTCTTAATATATTCAAGAGATAAAAGAAATTATATTAATGTTATTACAATAGAAAAATTGGATTAGTCTTAGTTTGTGTTTATTATCATATGTTTTGAATTTATGATAAAATTTCATAGATTCAATATTTCAGTACTGTTCATTCTGAAGTTATATTTTCTGTCAATTACTTATAGTCAAGATACGAATGATCATAATGTTTGCAAGAGTCAAAATGATTACATGAGAAAATTATTTTCAATTCATTTACTAATTATTCCAAGTATCTTAAAGCCTCTACTAGTGAAAACCTTCTGATTATGAACGGTCTTGAATTCAATGGAGCGATTTTTGTGCGAAAGTGTCTCTTTCTATTATGAACATCTTATCATTTTGAATAATGAACGCTTTGGCGGTCCTTCTTGCTATTATAAACTCTCTGCTGTGAAGAAATATGCAATGCTTTTTTGACGTGTTTCTACTGAACTATGAGTATGGATATTTTATGCATGATTCGCCCGCTCTACCTGTAAAGAAAAGAATGATATCACCACATGACTTATCTTGCTAGAAAAAAAATCAAACTTAATTGACATCAATAGGCCATAAAAATCAAATATTCTAAAATAATTTCTTCATTTCACAGCAATCATACATCAACTCTGTAAACTGAACATCTCTATATAGTGAACGCTTTTTGATGGTTCTCATGATGTTCATAATAGACAGGTTTTACTGTATGTATAATTAGATATTTCCAGTTGTAAACATTTTATAGTGTCTGATATAAAAAGATATGAAATTTAAAACTCCAATATCTTTTTAAAAAACTTCCTATGTGCTTCTTCGTTCTGATGATCAAGTTAAGCATTTAATGTTTGATCAAATTTTTCACATTGATGTTTTGTGTACTACTTCATCTATTCATACGATCAATTGTATAAATCAAATATGGAAATGAATGAGTATATCATCTTGATTTAGACTCAGAATGTGTTGCTTATAATTCATCACAAAGATACTTATTTTATCTGATAATAAGCTATTCTAACTATTAATAATAAAAAGAACTTTGAATCAAATACTTTTGAAATTTATTTAATCCTTTCGCGGCGATGTGATCCACCAGTGGGTCACACTGAAGGGCGGTTCAAAAGCGCATTTATCGCAGAAAAAATCGGATATCTCTGCAATAGTTTAATCAAAGCGGCTGATTTTTTTATTAATGATAGAGGATTGTTCATAGCTCATATTGATAAGAGAAACATCGATAAAAGTTATGTTGAACTATTATTAAAGAAATGAAATCTTTCACGAATTATAAGAAAGTAATATTCGTGTCGTCGCGAATGGGTTAAGAAAGAAAGATTAATTTTCTTATATATGAATGATTGAATCGTGTTGAATTAAATTAAAATTAAAATTGAATAGTAATAAATTTGAAAGTTTTGAATATGTTTTCTATTAATTAACAAAAAAATAAATTATGTGAATTGAATATAAATATACAATTTAAATTTTAAAAGAGAACAATCTCGAAATTTAGCATATTTCAGTACTCGAAGCAAAAAGAAAAAGAATCTACATATATTATTCGAAGTCAATATTTTAGGATGGCAGCATTTTTGATCATCAAAATTTTCGAGTATTCATTTCATATTATTTATTTTGCAACAAAGGGCGTGGATGCGAGATCTTCTCCTTATCCACCTAATACTCAGCAAAAGAGGCTATTGCTGTAAAAATGCCAATTTCCTTCTTCTAAACTTAATTTTCGAGTATCTACAAGGTCAGCTCATGACTCTTCAATCAGAAGTTCTACAAAAACTTTGAACTTATACTTGGAAGTAATACAAAATTTTGATTGTAACCCAATACGTTCAAATATCTGCAGACATCTTTAAACGGTAAAAAATGAATGAACATTTTGTCCAACTAATTTTCCATTACCCGTTGTTCTATTAATAATTCCTTATCAACCAATAGATCAGGCAGAAAAGAACAACTTAATGGTCATTACAAGAATATTTATTATGATAAAATACAATTTATAAAAATACTTTTTTGTTAATGTGCATTAAAATATACAATATGCTATGTCCTAAATAGGATAATATATATTTTCTAGCTATTCAATGACATTTAATATGCTTCATAAATCATAATAAATTTATTATAAAATGATCATTATTATCAGATAGAATGTAATGTACTTAATGAAGAATTTTAAATGATTTCAATGTTTATCATAATTTCAATGATGAACATTTGACTTTATAAAAATTCATAAATAAATATTTTGAGAAGAACAAAAAAGAAAAAAAAGAAAAGTGTATCATTAAAATTGTTTTATATTTTCGTATTTTCTGTATTGTTTCATGAACTATTTTTATCATCCGATTAATTTATTGAAGATTGATTTCCTTCAATTGTTTGTTCACGTATTGAACCGAATAATTGTAATCGTTTATTACCACTATCAGCAACAACAACTGTTCCATCGCTTGTTATATCTAAGCCACATGGACGTTTTAATTCACCTGATGCAGTACCTTCTACACCAAAATGTGTTATATAATCACCTTCAGGTGTACAAATAACAATACGATGATGACCTGTATCCGCTATAAAAATTCGATCATCAGCATCTACAGCTATACCAGAGGCACCTGCAAGACCTAATCCATCGCTATCAACAACATAGAATGGTTCAACATATGTTGGCCTAAATAAATAAATAAATATGTATATAGATATATACATGTTTAATTGAAAAATAGAAAGTTTTATTCTTACCCATCAGCATTTTTTGGAATCAAACACAAAGCATCACCCTGATCAACGATACAAACAATTTGTTGTGTATTTTGTTGATGAGTTATTTGCATAGGAGATATTTGACATTCTCCTTCTTCATCACGTGTTAGTAATTCAATAACTCGTTCACATACTCCTTCTGGTCGCATAACTTGTATACGAAAATTTCCTCGGTCACACACATATAAATAACCATCAGTAAAATCAATAGCAATGCCAGCTGGATGATGAAATTGATGTACATCATGACCAGGTGAACCTAATTTATATTGTTTAAAATGATATTCATCTTGTAAAATTTCATTTTGTGCAACATCTTCAGTTTCGTGTAAATCAATAGGTGAATACATATGAAGACAATGATGAAAATGGCTTCCAAGTATTACTGTACCATCATATGCAACAGCAATAGCTGTTGGTTGAAATTTAGTTGTTGCAGGATCATTAATAGTATGTTGAAGTTTTCCATACATATCAAATATTTCTACAATACTTCGACCAACGTCACATGAATATAATGTATAACTTTCATGATGAATAGAAACATCAATGGGTTGTCTGTGTTCTTTTATTTGAAGATCTATTATTTGCGTACGTAGTTTGTTTGAATATCGTTCGTTTAAAGCTAAATCATCAGCTGTTATTTCACGTGGTAATTGATTTGCAGCAGTTAATTCTGGTGCTTCATCACTTTCAACTTCTTCAACATATTCAGGTTGATATTCATCGCCATAAACTTCTGATGAATCACATGCTGTTGGTTTATAAAAAATACTTAAAGATGGGAAACGTTGAACGAGACGATCCATTGTTGCCTAAATATGATTTGTATTTGTTAATATGAAAATTTTTAAAAAATACTCACAAGAAAACCTTTCCTTTTATTTACTGATGGATCTTCGTAATATTCAGCAGGATAACTATTGTGTTCTTTTGTTGAGTCGTAATCTTGATCTATTAAAAATAAATAGAAGGGAAACAAAAACGAAAACTGATATATGAAAATCCTTACCACTGTAACCTTCAATATCTTGCCAGCGTGGTTCTTTTCGTTTTTCAGGCACTGTTATTGCTCTTATTTGTTCTTGCGAAAGCTGTTGAGTGACATTAGTTGAAACTGTTGATTTTTGAACATCTTTCTCAAATGGATTTGTTGATCGAATCGAAGCTTTCGGTGCATTTTGTGTATGATTAAGTTTTTGATAAACGTCTTCTTGTGATTTTTGTTCAGTAGGTGTATTTGTTTGATTAGGTCCTGTTTTTGAAATACTTTCGAATTCAGGACGAAGAAGATCATCATCCATATTTTCTGGATTCTTTTTTATTGTTGCTATGTTATTAAATAAAAAAGATTAATTATTAATTAAATAAAATCATTTTTTTGTACCATATAACTCTTCAACGGGTTTAGCCGTTGTTTGTTTTAATGGATCAAATTCATCAGCCATAGCTAAGGTAAAGTGCACTGCAAGCGATAGTGATGATCAATAAATAAATATATGTATTTTATATATATAGGTATATATATAATACAGCAAAATCACGCTTGTGCAATGAGTCATGGTATATGAGTAGATATTTTATCGCCACGCATATAACATTTAATCGACACACCTGAGTGCACACATTTCTTTTTCCTTTCAAGGCAAGATAAAAACGAAAGTTTCTATTCATTACGACTCTTCGTAGGCGTTTTTCAGACAAAAATTACAATGTCAGGACTATATCCATCAACAGCAGCTTCATATGCATGGCCTCGAACTGCCGGTGCATCATCAGGACCGGTACCTTTTGGTGGTAACCCAACAGGTTTACCAATTGTAACTAACTCAGGTTTACCATTAAATACAGCAGCAGCGTTTGGTAATCGACCTCCACCTGTTCCACAACCACCGCGTACACCTTTTCCTTCAATTCAACAACCACTTGGTCAAACCGGTGGTTTAACTTCGCCTAATTACACTGGAATTAATACATCACCAGCATTTAACCCAAATGCAGCCAATGCAGTATGTAATTTATAAAAACCGAAAATAATTCATTTCTTTTTGAAAAAATAATTAAAAGGCACAAAATCAAGCACAAAATGCTCTATTTGAAGCTTATCAGCGACGATTAGCGCAACTTGAAGGTGAAAACGAAGACCGAAGAGCTGCTGTAAGAAGACAAACATTTTATTTTTCGTTTTCTTAGCAATTTTAAATATATTTTATATTTTTATTCAGACAATGAATCTTACACAAATGGGTACGCAATTATTACAAGGTCAGATGGATGTACAAGAGCAAGTTTTACAATATCAATTTGTATAAATATTCGTCTTCTTTTTCTTTCCATTTTCTTTTTGAATTCATATCTATTGAAATCAATTTATAGATGTTAGAACAATGCATGGAAACTCTTGATCATCAAAATTATGTTCTAAATGAACAATCTGATGAATTATCATTACTTCGAGCTAAAATGAAACATTTTGAATATCTTGTGGATGCCTTTAAACTTAGTAAAGGTAACATCTATTTTTAAATATTATGAAAACTGTTAATAATTTTCTTTTCTTTTCTTTCTTTTTTGACAGAAGGTACTAATCTTTTACGAAGTGGAGTTGGAGATTCGAATTGCATCAGTGCCAATCTTCTATGCTGTCGAGATCCCTTGTAGATATAAACGTCTTAGGACCAATTAGACATATTGCGTTTTTTTTTTCTAACATTTTTATTTAAGAACTTTACCACCTCCATCAACTTCTCCATTTTTTGCTGGTGGTGCAACTCGTGTAACAGCATCAACATTTCAACCTTTTAATCCTCGATATCGATCACCAAATAGTCGTGCAGCAACAGCTGCAACTTTAAGTGGTCGTCGAAGTGTAACACCATCAGTTGGTAACCGTAATTTTCCTAATTCCGATCAACGACCTTCACGTCGTTTCGATAACTCCAATTAATGACACTTTTATTTTAATTATTAAAAAAAAGCAACAAATCGAAAGAAAATAATTTATAATGTACTTGTTTTTATTTTGGAATTAGCTCAGGTATATAATAAAAAATAGTTCAATTCCCTGAATATTTTTCTTTTTTAATATTAATCTGACATTTTAAACTTTGGTTGAAATAGGTATTGTTGATGATCTAAGATCTTGATGACCATTTGTATGATGATAAATTATATCCATTGTTACATTATCATTTCTTGTTAATCTTTGTCGTTTTATTAAACGATTTAAATGTCTGTATGTACTGCTATTATGTCGTTTTTGTTGTCGTATTATAAATACAATTAAACATATAATAATAATTAACACGGGTAATAATACAAGAAAGTAAATTCTATAACGATAAATCATCGTAAATTGATTACGTTGTTTTGCTGTTTGTTGTTGATAAAAATATGAAACATTATAATGTTTACCATAGATAGTTATACCTTCGTCTGGTAAAACATGACATTGAAGTAGACGTTGTTCAAAATAACATAGACGTTCTTCTTGTGCTAAAATATATAAACTAGAATTTGAATAACAATTTGGTGTCATTGACATAAATGATTTATCTATATGTCGATATAAATAACGTGTAGTACATGAACATCTATGTAAATTTTTGGGAAATTGTACAAATGTTTTTAAATTAGTTGATGGAGAAAATTGAGCAAATACACAAAAATGTTTTTCATCGTTTACTTGAAAATCAGTACTTTCATTTAATAAAAGTAAATTTGTATTCATATGTAAAAATGCATATGGATCAAGACGAAGAATATTTCGACCAAGATTTAGTTCTTGTAAATGATATAAATTAAAAAAACCTTCATTTTCAATTGTTGTTATACCATCTAATATTAAATATTCTAATTGACTCAGATGTTCAAACATTCGCTTAGTTATATGTTGAATTGAACGTGAAAATATTTTTAATGATCGTAATTGTGGAAATCGTTGAGCTAATTCTCGATTATTAAATGACCGAAAACCACCATTAACATAATAATTTTCAAGTTGTAATTCTTTGACTGAATTAAATATAATAGGAAAATGTTTTCCTTGTAAATGACGAACACTAATATCTTTTATTGAAAGTTGATAAACTTGAAAAGTAAATGTATTTGATGATGGAAGAAAACCAGTAAATGAAGGATTATCAATAATTAAATGATGAATAAAGAGAGTGTCATTAAAAAAATCGATTGGAATTTTTGGATTTGTATTATATAATTTTAATTCGTAGCAATTCAATTTTGAAAGAGCACCATTAGAATAGATTAATAATGGCGAATTAAGAAATGATATAATAAGTTGTTCCTGAGAATCTGATAGACTTAATTCTTCAAATATACCTGAATGAGTTTGTTTAATATTAACAAATGCAATAACATTTCGATTATTTATTTTATGGGTTTTTTTAACAGTTTGACTTTCAAAATGAATAAAACGAAATGCTTTTGTTGGTATAAATGGATAATTTGCAAATGTTAATGTACGAAAACGATAATAAAAATATTTAAATTGATCAAATGTTGTTAATTTTGTTTCATTTATATATTCACTTGAATATGTACAAAATAAATCTTGATTTAATAATGATCGTGGTTTAGATAAATAATTCGTATCAATTAATGCAAAAAGTGGAAAATTCGTACATTTACACATATTTAAGAATTCACATTCATCACTAGTAGCATTTATTGGCCATAAAAAGATGTTAAGAGATAATAGTATACAGAAAAAATTGAAAAACATTACAGTCGTATAATCATTATCAATTACTATGAATTTATATTTCTGTAATAAAAAGAAAGAAAAGAAATAGATGAAAACTATATGTCATTATTCATAGATAATATGATTTCTTGTTGACAGCCAAGTTCTTAAAGAGAAATAGTATGCTATACATCATATAACTAACATAAACAAATGAATACATTGATGGAACGAAGGATTCTATCTTCCTAAATCTTACCAGGAACATTATTATACTTCATTTCTTTGCAAATTTAAGCATGTAAAGCCTTTCTCACTACGATTATTTGCCCATTTTCACTTCGAGAAGAAAAAGATATGAAAGCACGCATCTAACCACATTCTCGATTCTCTTCTGCATTGAGCACATTTTCTTCTCGTCGCCTGTTTCGTAATCATCTTCGTTTTGCGCCATACTCTCTCTCTCTCACTCTTTCTTTCTTTTCCTCTAGTAGTAGTTGTTCTCTTTCTTTCTTCCTTCCTTTCTCTTTTTTTTTTTGCTAATACTGGTTCACTGGAAAATGTTAATGTTGAACATGGTCGTCATCGTCGCTGTTATTGATCGGAGAGTACTCTGTGAAAGAAAGAATTGACTAACTCTCGGTTACTTGCTCGTTCAGTTCTACGGCGCTTATCTGACTCACGTATGCTTGACAGACACTTGCACTTTTTCTTCTATGTTTATATTCTGTTTGAATGGCAAAGACTTGAAAGAATCATCATTATATTGGCCTACTCTTTATTGCATCACGCACGAATAATAATACAACATTTTCTTTTTTTTTCTTTGCTTGCAAGAAAGGTTTATTCAAAGAAAACTTTTTAAGATCCGAGTAAAATATGTATCTTTGTTACGATTAAATTATTTTTTCTTGATCTTAACTTATATGTCATTATCATGGGAAATAAATGAGTAAATGTAATCTTTTTGATGATGACAAGACATGTAAATCTCATAAGATTATTTGAAAATTTTGACACTAATAATGAATTAGAATTTAATAGCAACCCATTCTGAATTTTATACGTTCAGATGAGCATAAAAAAATCAAATCATGTTCTTGCCTGAGGAGAAAAAAAGATGAGATTAGAAAAATTTTATTTTGTTATTTACTAAGAAATGGCTTCTTTGACGAATATTATATATATGATTTTAATCTTTACGAAATAAAAAAATTATTTATTTACAAAAAAGTCTTTATTATTTCCTGTATTTATTTAGTCGAAAGTATTAAAAAAATATAACGTGAATATACAAAATAAATATAGATATATGATGTAATTCTAATATTAAATTGAATAGATAATTTACACATTGTTCGAAGTCTAATTTTATTGTGAAATATTTCTTTTTTTTTCATTGGTTATCAAATTCTCATGAATTATTCTATGTATGTACAGCAGACTTACGTAAATTATGGATTATATAAGGATAAATAAGGCTAACTAATAAGCATGAAGATGATAATTATGATATTTTTTTAGTATATGCCATTCTTAGATTAGATACAGATAACGAAGAAATATGCTATTCATTTTTCACTTATAACAATATTGAACAACTGATTAGATCACAGGGGTAAAAGTATTTGTGTTGAACGATATCTCATTCGTTATATTGTATATAAAATGTTCGACATTGATAGTGATGTGAATTTATTTCAATGATCTTGGCATATAAATCATAAGTAACAAAAAATGATTCTATCGTTCAAATGTTAATTAATATAGCAAACAGTAGTGTTATGTTAATACTTCTCTTTAGATTTTTTTTCTTCTATTGATAATACCAGAGATTAGAAGTACTGTATTATCAATTCGAGTTTCAATATATTGTATAGAAATTATCATCAATTTTTCTTTTACAAAGCCAAGGTTATCTTGTCGCATTAGGGAATTCGAATAATCTACAGATAATGAATATTATCCACGATTAAAACTCCATTAGTTAAATTAACAGTTGCATTCTATGACAGAGGATTAGATTATCTCGTGCATTTCTCATTGTTGACCTTGAAAAATTTTTAAACCAAAATTCTCTTGCCAGATTCTCTATAGAAATCGAGAGACCATGTGAAGAAATTTTTTTTGCTAATATTCGCCTCTGCATATACCTACATTACTCTGATCAATGATTTAACTATTGTAAATTTCTTTTCTCATACTTCCTTATGTACTATTGAGCGTCTGAAATACATAAGCAAGAAGAAAACTAAAAGAAATATAATTTTATGAAATCTTTTAAGTCTGCAATTATTAGAAGAATGACATTGTCATCAAATTCTAGCATATATGAAAACAAAATTATGACGAGAACATATTTGTTCGATTGTTGAATATGTGAATAATTCAAATGAATACAACATTCAGAGTGATATTCTACTGTTTAATTAGACAAGATTATGGTTTTATTCAAACAACTTTATCGAATATTCAGTCATTATCAATAATAAGACATACTTTATTGCCATGAATTCTTCTATACAGAATACGTTTATTACATCTATATGGTTGGTGATCGGAAATAACCAACTAAAATATCAGAATGACGTAATAGGTAACAGTATAAGATACTCTTTTGTCAATTTATTGTTGACTAACAAACACATCTTGCGGTAGTAGTCTAACCAGGAGATCGTGGATGGTAGGAAACAGCGCTCTACAATCTTGAAGATAATCCATGCAATCTTGTGTTAATGATGGCAATTACTACGTTTTTCTTTGCTTCGATAGTAGGGCGGCGCCTGGCCTAGACCACCATTGGTTACACTATTATGTTTCGATGAATATGTTGATTAATTTTTCCGTATCGTTGTGCAACTATACTACAGTCTATCATTATCAGGTCGAACTTATAATTTTATGATGATGAAAAATGATTGTATACTGTTTTTTTTTTCATGCTTTTACAAAAACATAAGAAACTGCATATACATGTTTACTAAATTAAAAAGGCTAACAAGAAAAAAAAGAAGTAATAATAACCTGTCAAAATATTGCTTCTAAAACGTATTTATAGCAATGGAAAGTTCCAGAATATTCTTCACGTTTATATCAATACGAAAAAATTGTTTTTTTTTTTCTTTTATGAAAAATATGTTTGTCTACTATAGTTAATAGATAACATTATTCATCATCTCTACATTATTTTTCTTTCTTCGTCACATTCTTCATGCATCAATTGATAAAAAGTTTTTATTTTTCTTCAAAATCGAAGACAAAGAGAACAAAAACAAAAAAAAAACAACAAGGATATCTTTTAGATAAATAATACTTTCATTCATATTCAAATAAAATGATTCTAATTATTATTATTTCAATATTAATTGTTATTTTTCTATGGATTTTATCACAAACTAATTTATGTAATTGGTTATGTTCAATAATTGTTAGTAATTCAAAACGATATCGTTATCGACGACGTCCTAAACGTCTTATTTTAATTCGACATGGTGAAAGTCAAGGTAATGAAGATTCAAGTATTTATGCAACAGTACCTGATCATGCTATTGGTTTAACTGAAAAAGGACGAGAGCAAGCATGTCAGTGTGGAAATGAATTTAAAAAACTTATTGGAATAAATGAAACATTAACTTTTTATGTTAGTCCATTTCGTCGTTCAAAAGAAACATGTGAATTAATATGTGCAGCATTTCCAGAAGAAAAAATTTTAAAAATACGAGAAGATCCACGTATCAGAGAACAAGAATGGTAAAAGATAAATATATAGAATTATTATGCGAGCTTTTAATATTGTTCCGTTTTTTTTTTATTTTCATAGGGGAAATTTTCAAGATCTAGCAACACGTGAAATAGTAATAGTTGAAAGAAAAAAAATTGGACGATTTTTTTATCGATTTCGAAATGGTGAATCAGGTGCTGATGTATATGATCGCGTTAGTTCATTTATGGATAGTTTATTTCGTGAAATGGATAATAGTTTATTGGCAAATAATAATATACTTATTGTTAGTCATGGTTTATTTATGAGATTATTTTTAATGCGTTTTTATCGTTGGTCAGTAGAAAAATTTCATACATTAGAAAATTTTAATAATTGTGGCTATTGTATTTTGGAAAGAGATGATCAAAATGGAAGTTTTATACTTAAAACAGAATTAAAAGTTTTTCCCGGACGAAAATCAATTGATATGACAGATTTAAAAGAACAATTTAATGAACAAAGTTTTGCAGAAGAAATTCATTCAGATCTACATACAAAAACTGATTAGAAAAAATATTTCTTTCTTTCTTTTTTTCTGTATGTTAATTTAAGTTTAGAAAGATAAATTTGCATACAGAAAAAGTCTGATCGAACGGAAATAATAAGCAAAATGAAGTTTTATGTATGTTCAATTTTTCCTATGTCTCATGTGGCTAGTACTTTTTTCACAGAAAATTGTTTTTTGACTTTGTTTTATAGGTACTAGTAAGAAAAAGAAAAGCAATCACTTTTATTCTTGAATATCCTATTATTGTTTGCCAATATAATTATAATAAACGATGCAGGAGTTTTTGAAAAAGTTTTGAAAACAATTTCTTAATACTTGAACAATCTTTTTACTTTCGATTTATCATAATAAAATTCCAGGATGAAGCTACAATAAAAATGTAGTTACAACTTAATTTTTTCGTATTTTCGATATGGAGAGTTTACACTATCGTTTGTTGCAAAGTTTGAATTAAACAATGCCATGAATAGAGTTTTTCAAATTTTATCACATCATCTCTTTCGAGTTGAGTTTTCATTGTGCTATTAATTAATAAACTCTTTTTCTTCCTATGTTTCTTCTGCCGGAATAGAAATTTGGTGAAAATTGTAAAAAAAAAACAAATAATTAATTTCAGAAAGCTTTTGAAAAGCGAATAGTAACTTTTCAAAATACGTTGCTGAGATTGACTTTGTTCTTCCTTTATTGAATAGTGTATTTTGTTTACGTCTTGTATATATTGGACTACTAGTAGTATTAATCGTCAAATAAATGTTTTGGAAAGGTGCAAAGCTTGTTCAAGATGAATCTAAAGATTTCTTTTGCACACCATCAATTCGTTTGATAAAATTGTTTTTCCAATGTTCCATTGCTAAGAAATAAATACTGATATTTTTCCAAAGACTTTAACATGACTCTACTTGAACGACTCATATCGTCAAAACAAAACTACCTACGTTTGATTGATTAATTACAACCCTAAAAAAAAACACGAACGATTAACCTTAACATGATAGCGTGCTAACCAACTCTGTCAGAATAACTCCGGTAATTGATAGAGCTTCGACATCGTATTTCCATCCAGAATGTCTCCGACTTTTCCGGTGGTTTCCGACTAACTTCTTGTTCTTTTTAATCAAATATTGCCGGAAGTCAGTGGATAAATATGAAAGCATTCCGGACCGGAACACTCCATTTTAGTTCTGTCAATTGTCAGCGTTTTCTGCCGGAAACGGTACTTATTTCGCGTTGCCTCAACCAGTTTCAGTAAAATCTACTCATTTTGAGAGTATGGAATTATCAACACAAGCTGAAGTTCATTCGTTGAAAATTGTAAAAAGATTAACCTTGCCCAAATACAATTATGGTCATGAGTAGTCATCATCATGATCCTTTTGTAGATCTTTAGTCAACATATGATTGAACTAGTTTTCATTTCGATATCTATAAATAAATAAGAGTTTGAGAAAGAATGTCCATAATTACTGAACTCATTTATCAGAGACTACTTGGAATTATGAAATTTTATTTTTCTACGGTTTAATTTAATTGGTTTTTACGTTTATTTTGAAAGATCAATAATAACTCCAGCAGATCACACCTCGGTGGCAGTATAATCACAAAGAAGCTGTTTAAGTTTGGATCTGATAACAAGAAAATGAGCAACAGTCTATCGATTTGTACGAACAAATAAGTTTATTGCCCATGATTTCAAGATTGGATAACATTTTAAAGGCAATAATTTATGATGTAACATTCAAAATGTTATCAAAGTATTATATTTCTAAGAATAATTTCCCTCTTAATTCAATTAGAAGAAATGTTTTTTATTATTATTATTTAGAAATATCATTACAATCAAATTTATTCTCCAAATTCTTTAATAGTTTAAATCAAAACTAAATTAGATATTTACCAAAAAAAAAAACATCAATAGTAAATCTCTTTCATTCTTGAATTATACGAAATATTAAATTCATTAATAAACTTCTCACCTAAATTCAATATTACATTTTTTTTTTCAATCCAACTGTTATTAATCAGCTAGTCGTACATAAAAGAAAAATTATTAATTCTTTGCAACGCTCTCATTCGTATGCATTTCTGTAAATACAATAGAGTCTCGCGGGAACGACTTTTCTCAATTTCCGCTTTTGTAATGCTTTTATAATTTCTACTATGATTGAATTCTTCGTATTTGAAAAAAACAACTCTCATTGTCAGACACTAGTTTCTATCAGCGTCACACGTTGCGCAACGTAAGATGGTCTTAAATTACAATTAAAATTATTATTGGAGAAAAATTTTAGTGAAATAAAATTAATTACTATTTATAAGTCGGAATTTATCAATTCTAAGTCAGGAGAATTATTTCTTTCATCAATGAAACAATTCGAATGCAAAAACAAACATACTAACACATCATCAACACCGACGGAAAAACGAAAAGATTCAAAAGAAAAAATAAATAAAATTATAGTTTAATGAACAATCAATGAACTGGTCGAATTTTTGTTGATAAATACTTGTTATTTGTCTTTTAATCAATAAGTGACGCCAAATTCTTTGAAAGAATGTTGAAATCTATTTCTCAACAATGTAAAATCCGAATGGTTTCAACAAAGAGCAAATTTTGAAGACTGTGCATGTAAAGCAAAACAAAACAATTTTTGAGAACATCTATTGTTCAATATCGTTCCTGCTTCCAATATTCACGGAAAAAATTATCTCTGTAGAACACCAATATACAATAACATTAGTCTAAATCCATTATTTATAAATGATTTTTCAAATTAATGAACACGAATGTTTATATTTGAGGATCTTCTTTAAAAAAAATTCTTTTACATATCTTATTGAAAAATATAAACTAATGTTCAAATAATATAATTTAATTTAAAACAGGAATCATCAAAGATATTATGTTATTGCACCGTGAAGGTAGAAAAATGAACTAAAAAAAGAAAATCATTGTGAAAGAAGAACATTGTTATTGTTCATAGCCTAAATAAAAGTTAATTGATAAAAATTAACGAAGATCTTTTTTTTTTTTTAAATTACTTGTTCGATTTTCATCATTTCATCGATTAATCTATTTAATTCTTGTTCATCAAGTTCAAGTAAAATATCTTTTGAATTTTTTTCATTTGTTAATTCTAATTGAAGATTAACAAGTGGTAAACGACATTTAAATAAATGTTCATCATGAAGAGCAATCTAAAAAGAAGACAGATAAAAAAAACACAATGAAATAAAATGTATTTTTATAATTTTTTGTTTTACTCGAATATTCCAATCAAAATTTTTTAAACGATATTCATCCATATATTGACTAGCCTGATAAATATGATATCGTTCGATATCATGTCGATAATCATTTACAAAATTTATATAAAGTTTTTGTAAATGTTCAGGTAAATCATTTGTTATGATCTAAAGTATGAAATAAAGAATTCTATTAAAAAATAATAATAATAACTAAATGATACTTTGTTTGATGATGGATTTGTACTTCGGAGAAGTTGTTCAAGTTGTGTACGAATTTGTGAATCAACATTGATTGTTTGTTTTGTTGATGGAAGGCGATGAAAATATTCATCAAGAATTTGTTGTAGTAACTAAATAGAAAAAAAAATCTTTTTCTTTGTGAAATTTAATGGAAAATTACTTGAATGAAATTATTTTCCGAAAATGAAGACAAATCTTTTATAGTTTCCATTATATGTTAAATAAAATACAAATAAAGGTTTTTTTGAAAATATAGATTTGAAGAACGATATTTATTGGATGATAGATGTCAGGTTTTTTTCAATTAGATTGGTTAAAATAATGAATCAGTAAAAATTATTGTACGTGATGAATTAATTATATGATGTTCATTCAAATGGGCTTTCGTCTATGATTATTAGCATGTGACAAAAAAAGATTTGCATTTTTAGTAATTTGAGGAGTTTCTTTTTTTATGATGATATTTTCTATTGAAAACTCCTCAAATAGTGTGGCTTACTCATCAAATAAATTCAACCGGTTTACTTTAGTATACGGTAAAATCGTAAACAACATATAACATATCATATTAACTCACATTATTGTCAATAAATTGTTTCACATTATGTATGGATACTTTGAACACAGTACTTAAAACATTTTCCTATGAGAGCTTTTATTTATAATAAATTTAATTGTATTGGAAACTGCAAACATCATTCGACAAAATCATACTAGAATTAAATAAGTAAAACTTATTATCAAAATAAGATATTTTGTCGTATGATTTCAAGGTAGACTGTACAATACAGGTGATATTCTCTCGTAAGTGTCCTTGGTTTATCATGTATGATCATATTAAATATAGATTTTGCTTTAAATAAAAGAGTATTCCACACATATGATAATGTCTAATATCTTGAAAAGTCGATAAAATCAAAATATTATTTTTTTTTAGATTTACCTAGTCGACAAAAAAATGTTCTCCTCATTATTTATCTTTTACTTTTTATTCTCATTTGTGAATTGTCGTATACATAATATTGATATAATTGTAAGTCAATACTAATTCTTTGTTTTGCTTTTTATTATTCATTATATACAATATTTGAAATTGTAGGATGATAATCGTCAACAAATTTTATTGAGTACATTTGGTTTTCTTCTTGGTGGTACAATGAATATAAATGTAACAGATTTTACTTATGATAAAGCAGGTGTTGGTAAAGATAGTATGGTTAGTAAAGAAGAAAGAAAAAAAAATTCATTTAAAATTTTGATTGTTTTTTTTTTCTCATAGTTTGGATTTAGTATTGCTAAAGCAAAAAACAGTGGTATTGCCGAATCATTGGTAAAGATAAGAAATTCGATAGATTATTTATTTTCTCGTTTTTGTTTATGAAAATTAATTAGCAAAGTCATACAAGTCGTTCATGTTTTTTCTATCGAACTGAACAAGCAAATGAAATACCACATGTATATTTTATGATGGATCATACATCAGAAAAACCTAAGTAAATAGTTTTAATATTATGTTAATGTTAAGCAAGATTGATTTTTATAGAATAAACGTTATAAGACATTCAGGAGATTTTGAATATCTTGATATTCAATATGAAATACCATCAAATAGAATTCAATCAAATATAAGTAAGTCAAGAAAAAAAATATATGATTCATTTATTGGATGAATATTATAATATAGATGAAACATTAACATCAAATGTTACAATAACATCACGTCAGAAATTGGAAAAAAATGAAACACTTATAACTGAAATTCCTATAAATCGAGTTGGTGGAACATCACATCGATTTCGTTTTCAAGTAGAAAATTAATTTAAAATTAATATATTATTATCTCTTTTCTTTTAGTTTCAAGTTATAGTTAAGCGCAAAAATGAAGAAGGTTTATATAATCTATATTTTCATAATTGTTTAAATAAGACGGATGCTCATTTGAATCAAAGATCATTATATATTAATTTAACTGTAAGTTTAGTTTTTTTTTCTGGTTTAATTTTTACAAATAATTTTATATTTAGACTTTATTAATAGAAAAAAATCTTGATAATTATTTATCAGCTGGAGAAATACCATTACCTGTACTTTATTTTACTTGGGCTGTTATTTATTTTCTTTCAGGATTTTATTGGATATTTGTTTTAAAAACATCAAAGTAAGAAATAATGACTAGCTCGTCAAGTATTACATCGTGAAGTTTTTTTTCTAATTATCTTCGCTTGATTGAGTTCCTTTTTCCATTAATCGAAAGGTTGCAATTGAAATTATCTACAAAATTGCTATGTTTTATTTAACGTGTAGAATCTCTTCGTCTTTTTCGGATTAGATGTGATCATACAGTAAAATCAAGTACGAATTGTTAAATCGAACGAATTTTAATCGGAGAAATTCGGCGATCAACAATCTTTTAGGATGAATGCATAGAAATGGTTCACACATCATTTTTGACTTAACTATTATGTGTAAGGTCTCGTAACAATCTGCTGAAACTTACTTTGTAAAAATCGATCTCTCGTTTTGTGAGTTTTATTTTGGAGGTTGGCTCTCAGATGTTTTTGTCTAGGAAATAGTCAAGCTCTTCATTCAAATATCAGTTGTAAACTACTTATATCAACAGGTAATTTTTTATTGATAACTAACTCTGTCGAGCTTGATGGTACTATTTTGAATTTTGAAAGTGTTGCAGACCCCATATAGCTCGATAGACAAAATATACTGTTTGGTATAGATAATATATGTTTTTTCTTTTTTGATTTTAGACATCCGGTGTACAAAATTCATTATTTAATGTTATTTCTCGTTCTTACTAAAGCGTTATCACTTATTTTTCATGGAGTATATTATAATCTTTGAAGAAAACTATTAAAAATATGTTTTTGATTTAGATTAATCATCACTATATAGCAAGTAATGGACGACATGAAGAAGCATGGGCTATTCTTTTTTATATCACTCATGTGTAAGTCAAATAAACGCAATTAAAAAAGCAAAAAAGAAATGATAACAATCGGTTATCTACTGAAAAATTTTATTCAATACAAAAGAAATTGTCGACATGAACATGTCTCTGACAAAAGTTCAATAACATCCAGATCATTTTAGATGTTGAAGTCATCAGAAATCTTTTTGTATAACTATCTCAAAGCAAACATTTGTACTTTAATGCTGTTTTTCTTTGTACGATTGCGTAAATTTTATCTTTGACTCAAAAAGAAATGAACATATTAAGAATTTGATCTACTTTCATTTATGTATACATAAGGATCATCAAAATTATTCGATTTAGTGCAAATTCGATTTTTTTATCTTTGTAGTAGATGTTATAAACAATCTAAATAGTGATTTGAATTGAAAAAACTGTTTCCAATAAAACTACGAGCACATTATATTTCTCGGTACATTCTCAAAATTCAGAATTTCTGAAGAATTGAAAGCCTTGAGATGCCCAGAGATCGATAATAAACGTTTGTTGTGACTACAGAGAATAATGAAGCATAACATTCTCCACATAGTGAGATATACACAAGCTATTCACAATATTGTTTAACTAAGCTATCACAAATTTACAGAAGACCCAAAAAACATTTTTTGTATTTTTGTCTCATTCGAAATACCGAAACAACAGACGTTATTTGAACTTTCTCTAAATTTACTATAGTTCAGCCATAAAATGTCATGAAGAGCTCACGGATGTCTCATTTTGCTGAAAGTGTTTTGCTTCATTGTCCTCCGTAGACAAAAACAGATTTTAATTATCCGAATCTGAGTGTTAAAAACTTAGGCTTTTGTTTTCTAGAGACTCTGAGTTTTGAAGATGTACCGAGAAAATTTAATGTTCTCGTAGTTTTATTAGAAACAGTTTTCTTCATCAAAATCACTATTTAGATTCTTTACAGCCCCTATAGCAAGCGTAACAAATCAAGTCTATATCTGATTGAATAATTTTGACGATCATTGTATATAACCAATCAGCAAAATCGATCGGAAAATAATTATTTTTATGTTTAATAGGATAGAAAATAGTATAAATTTAAAAACAATCGATAAAATCTAAGGTAACTACGTTAAAATACGAGGCGCTAACAATGTCTACTTGAAAACATAAAAATAATTCGAGTTTATATAATTGAAAGCAAAGATTCGACAAGATCTCTGACCAGTTGTCTATCATTCTTAATTTATTTTTCTATATTTTTTTTTCTAGTTTACGTGGTCTTCTTTTAATTGTTGCAATATTACTTGTTGGTACTGGATTTACATTTATTAAACATGTTCTTTCAGAACGTGAAAGAAAGTTATTTATTATTGCTATACCACTTCAAGTATATTATAAATTATTGATATTATTTTGAATAAATTTGTCTTCTTATTTAAGATATTGGCTGTGGTTGCTCAAATATTTTTAGAAGAAAAGGAAGAAAGTGATCCTGTTTATGTAACATGGAAACAAATATGTTTTATTGTTGATCTTTTATGTTGTGGTGCAATTATATTTCCAATTGTTTGGTAATTTTAAAAGATTGAATTGTAATAGATAAAAAAAAAACAATATTTTTTAAAAAACCCTTTTAGGTCAATCAGACATTTAGAGCAATCAGCTAAAACAGATGGAAAAGTTCTGAGCAGTTTAAGTAAATTGAAAATTTTTCGACAATTTTATGTTATGGTTAGTTTCATATATTTATATTTTGATTTAAAAAAGTGATTTATTTAATGTTATTATTATTTTAGATTGTCTTTTACATCTATTTAACTCGAATTGTTGTTTATATAGTAAAATTAACAGTTCCGTTTCGTTTCGAATGGCTTGAAGTTATTTTTTTTGAATTAACAACGTTTATATTTTTTGTATTTACAGCTTATAAATTTCAACCAGCTATTAATAATCCATATTTAGCTTTATCACAAGATTCTGATGATGATGCCGATGGTGAAATGGATATACCATTAACACAAAATCCGGTTTTTGAACAAATTACCAAAGTTAATCAAAAGCCAAGAAAAGTTTCAACGAAATTATCAACAAAAGATCCTAGTGATTTAATAACACCAGATGAAGATGATGAAGATGATTATCATCATATTCGTGTCAGTACTTCACATGTCTGAGATTATTCTCCTTCTTTTTCTTAGCTTTTTTTTGTCTTGTGTACTTTACATTTGAGTTGAAGTTTTTTTTTGTATTTTAAACTTTAAAATCAAGAAGAAACTGAATGCTATACACTCATAAATAAAAGCATTTCTTTATCTGAATTTCATTTGTTCACAAATCAATTTCTAAATGATCGAATACATTATGTTAGTCAGTGATAATCAGTTATTTCTTGATAGTAATCGATGATAGAAAAATAATTTGACAAAGTGTTTATTGGTTTTTCAACCTGTTAAAGTAGTCAACAAATACTTGAAATCATTGGATTAAAATCAAAATTTTTTGTTGTTTTTGAATATAGATTCAAAATTTTTGTAAGATCTCTAATTTAGGAGTTGTAAACGAACCTTTTAGAGACGCAACAATTAAGTTCGAACAGAGAAAACAGACGTTTTGTTGCAGTAATAGTAGTCTACTACTGCATACGCTATATTATCCGGTTCTTTTTCTGTATAGAATTGAAGACAGTATTGTTCTGTCCAGGTCAAGAAAGCATCGAAAATTGATAGAATTCGGAAGCAGTATTCAGGATCGAAAAGCCTCTAGATTTTGCGGTGACTTTCGGTGAACTTCTTCCTTTTTCCGATCCGGAGTACTGCTTTCGTATTCCATCGATTTCCGGTGTTTTCCTGTCGAATGCGATGGTTTTTCTCATATATTTCCGATCGGTTCTAGTGAAATTCAATTGTGCCTGGAGCCCATAATAATCAACGTGGCTCTACAATGTGATACAGCAACCAGAAGTTTCAGAACAAGCATTCAGAAATAGCCAAATTCACTTGATAAGTCTATTTGCCATAGAAATCGATACAAATTGCCTAAACTGGCACGACATCTCCTATCAAAGTACTCACTGTTTGACAAAAATGACTTACAAAAATTAATCATAAGTATACAATATTATGGGAAAATGTTGATTCTTTCATGCACTGTATTTGAAATAATTTTCGCTTCTACTTTGAAGTTTTTGGTCAGCTGAAATTCTTCCAAACCCAATTGACGAACCTGTAAAAAGTCGGTTCATAATTTCGGAAAGAAGAAGACCTAAAAAAAATGTCAAACCCATATTCAGAAAGCACATCAAATTCTGATTTCAACATAATCTTATCAAGTGTCCGCAGGTTCACTTAAGACATTAAAAAATGAACGAACATTTTTCAAATTATTTTTCAATAGCTCATTAGTCAGAGAAAAATTTGAAGAAAAACAATATTTTCAATACTAACAAAAGATGAAATCAAGCAAGAATTACACGATTTGACGTAAATTGATTTGACAGTGTTCTCATTAGCAATGAAAGTATTTTGTTAAACGTAGTCTATGACTTGTCAGAAAGGAATGCATAATTAAATGATTCTATCATTTATTACTTTCTTAAGTTGAATAATTGCAAAATATGCTAGTATTGTTAAAAAGAATTTTATTTTTGAATAAATTGTATTTTGAATATATGTCAATCATTTTATTAATAATTTATTATATTAATTAGACTCTATGGAAAAAGAAAAACAATTAAATTTAATTAAAAATGAAATTTCATCCATCGAGGTGATGCGTGTTTAATTTTCGTTTGTTTAAGACAGGCTGGATTAGGTACAAATGTTGAAGGTGATATTGGACCAATTCTTCCTTGAACATAATTAGTTCGTTCACCAGTTGGTCGCGATATACTAGATGGTAAACATTCATCTGATGCGTAAGTTTCAAAAAGAAATTCTCCATTACGCCATTGATTACATTGATGACTTGGTCCAAATGGTGATGAACAAGGAATATCAGCTGCAACAAAATCTTCACTTTGATTATATTTATTACCAAAACACCAATCATTCCAATAATCTAATCCATAAAGATCACATTTGCCAGTATTACGATTAAAATAATATTGATAACCTGATGTAAAATTCATCCACATATCAAATACACTATCATAAGTTGTATTACCACGACCACCATTAACAGTTACAGTAACACGCATTTGTTGAGCTTTTTTATCATAAAAAATTAGACCTTCAGATCGATAATCAATAGCAGGTATAGAATGAAAAAAAGCATTTACATAACTTTCAGGTATACAACAATCATGTGGATCATCGTTTCGTTGTTTATTTATATTGTTTTTAACTAATTCAATTCTATGTTCTTTGTCTTCTTTTAATGTATTTAATGAATTTGGTGTTAATTTTATATCAGAACATTGATGAAAAATAGTTCCATGATCTTCTTCTTCAGGATTATTTGATAAATAACGAACACGTAAAATACATTCATCGCATGGTTCATTTGGTAAATTTATTTCAATTGAAAAATTTGTTTGCGTTATTTGATTCATTGAATTATAATCCGAAAATGAATGAAGTACGTGAAAATCATTTTCAGATGGATTAAGGCCTACAGCAAATGAAATATCAAGTGTACCAGGTTGACCTGTATAATAATGATTAAGATTTTGTTGAAATTCAACATTATATTTGCCACCAGCTACTAATGATGTACGTGGTGATGATGATGATGCATTAATATTACCACATGGTGCTATTTTACGATAACATGGATGAGCTCCCGGAGTTGAAATATCAAATTCACCACGTTGCATTGGTGACCAAAGACATATATGCATATGAACACCATTAGCAATAATCAAAAATACAAAAACAGAGAATGTAAGATGCATTTTTGCTTATGTTCTTCGTTTGTAATAAGTAAACTGATAAGATTTTAGTTACTCTTTTTTTAATGTTAGAAAATGCTTTATCACTAACTAAACAGGTGTATTATCATTTTGATGAAGATTCTTTTTTTTTCATTCGATGGCGTATATCAATTAAGATATGTATGATAAGAACTTGTGGGAAAGAAACGACGTCTGTTTAGAAAACAAATATAACGAATGTATTAAGAAATATGAACGGACACTATATAATAAACAGATAGATGTGATGAACTTTGTTTTTCTTTTTTCTTTTATCTTTATATTTTATATAATAGAAAACAAAAATGTCTTTATTTATGTGTTAAAATTCCACTACTAACTCTCGTTGTTTGTTTAGTTATCGTTTTTGTTTTTGTTGTTAATTGTTGATCAGCTATTAATAGATCAATATAATTTTTTAAACGTTTTCCACGTTGTTTCGTCCATAATCTCCAATCATTCATAGCAAGAATTTGTACAACATTTTGTATTGCACTGAACACTGTAAATACAATTGTAAACATAGATGCATCATGTGATAAATATGAATTAATGTCAAATAAATTATTTTGTTGTTCATTACTTATTAATGAACAATGTATAACAGGATATTGAGAATTGGATGATAAACACATAGCTAAACCATTATTTATATTTCCAAGTGTAACAAAAACTGTTGGACGACAATGTTCATAGGAATAATTTGAGAGAAATTTTAATATAGCTTGAGTAGATTTATATATTGAACAAAGACGAATATCACATTGAATATTATAAGTTTCATGAAGGGTTGTTTTTATTTTTTGTCCTTGTTCAATATCATGCAATGATGAACAAACTATAATACAACGACTTGTTGCTGATGGTGAAAATGATGATGAATAAATATTTAATGTTGATATATCTTTCTGTATATCAATCTGATCATCGTCTGAGACAATGGAATTCATTGGTCTTTCATCATCATCTGTTTCTACTTCATTTAATCTTGCTCCTTGTTTTTGTTGAACAAAACTTCGACGTAGTGAACCGATTTTAGTTGGTAAAGGAATATTAATATTCAAGTTAAGTATATCTCTTATAGCATTATTTATCCAGATAAGATTTTCTTGCATGACAGCAGTTCCTAATAGAGAAGTTTTGTGTTTTGGTCGTAGAAGATTATTTACATATAACATTATCAAGATAATTCTCTCATAGAACTAGTGTTCCTTGCTTGCTTTTAGAACTAAAATCTTGAACAAACATGTAACAGTATGGTAGTATGGTCGTTTTATGGAAAACAGACGATAGAAAAGACATTTCCACTTTCGATATAATTTAGTATTTGTATTGTTATTTGTTAAAATGAAAAAACGCTGTTTCTAATATGATCTGATTTGTTACAAAGATACTTCCTTTTATTTACATGTTAATATATTACTTAGTTAAATCTTCTGATCACTATGTTTCAAAAGTGACAACGGCAGCTGAGGAAAGGTGTACTTACAATCGAAAGTGAATAAAAGACACAAAGAGAAAAAAGAATATTATAGAAAGAAAAAACGAAATGTAACATGAGAATTTCTGGGAATTCTGTATATCATTGAATGCTTTTTTTTCATTGAGAATTACTACTGAGTCTGATGAGCTGTACTTCAATAGTCAGTCTGAAATTCGATCGAATACAGGTGTGTAAGAACTTCACAAGTTAGCTAAGATATTTTATCCAATATGTGTAATAAGGATCATTGCGTTAATACAGATCATTGATCAGAATGAAGATAAAATTGTTTTATTTAAGCCAAATATATACTCATTTCAATGAAATGCCATACAGATAACTAAGATTGATTAGTTGAGAATCGAAAAATATTGAATAAACTCCAAGTAATCAAGTAAAACAAAGGTGAAACAAATGTTGAGAGTAAAAATTCGACCATATGGAGTACAGCTGTTCATTTGTTTCTAACTTAGTTTATTTGTTAGTCAGTAAGTTCGATATTTGAAAGATTTGATTTGTTAAAACAAATGCTTAAATTCGTGATTATTTGTCTGATTCAGATAATTAATAACTCAGTCAAATAGTATCATTTCAATTTTAGAATAGTTAGTCGTTTGCACAGCTCAAATAGAATAATATTTAAAATAGACAATGAATTATTGTACTTATAGTACAACGTCAGCATATTGACTACTAAAATGAATCTCATTTTGACTAACAATATCGATTAGAAAATCATCAACAGAAAAAAGGCATGGTTATTGAAAAATAATCTTCCACATTAGAACGATATGTGATGAAGAGAATAAGGTAAATGAAGATCACTATAGCATTGCCAGTTAGCATGACGAGTAGGAAACTAGCCTAGATTTTCATCATGTTTCTGTTTATTCATGTAACTTGATTTTTCACTCTTTCATTTGTTGCTATCGTAACTTGTAATATTTTCATGTATTGATCTAAAATAGCAACACATGAATAAATTTTATAGCATAAGATTATACTTGAAGTATGTCAAGTTGTGACCAGATATGTTTTATTTGTGGACTTCAATGAAGATATCTATGAAGTTCATTGAGACTGGGCATTTTCTAATTGGTAAAAAAAAAAAAAAAGAAAAATGCCGGCATAGTACACCATTTTGTACAACTCGATAAACAAAATCTTATATTTCTTCTGTCTTCTAGTATATTAATGTTAACGTTTGAACAACTATAAATGGTGAAAAAACAACAATGCAACACTACGTCACTAACTTACACTGTAGAATTGCTCAGCTGTTTGACAACAATGACGTTTTTTTCACTTCCTCGGTATCTAAATTTGCTCACACGTGGTTTAATCATACACACCACAGAATGAGAGTAAGATAGTACGTGGAAAATGAAGATATGCTTCACGAAAAGTATGAGTAGATGATCTTGCGAAGAAACCATAACTAAATGTCAACACTAACCTTTTGGATTTATCGAAGTGTTATGAAAAGACGAAAACTATATTTATTTTGAATAGGCATGAAGCGCAAATTCTATTTTCTATCTCAAAGACTATATTTTTTTCAATATTACAAACATGTAAACTCACGAATATTTCTGTCAAACTTTGGTATCTAAGTCTACTCTATCTGTAGATAGTATAGTTTTTATAAATGAGTTCGACTACTTTTTACAGAACTTTATAAAATCTACACTATTTGCAATAAAAAAATATGCTATGATACAGAATATAAAGAGTGTTTTGAATAGGTTACGATTTTCGAAATTGCAAGTTTTTTACTATGCAGATAGAGTAGACTCAGATAATAGAACTTGACAAAACATATTCGTAAGTTTCGTATATTTTTAATATCGAAAACATGTTGTCTTTGAGACAGAAAAATAGAATTCTGCTCATACCTAATTGCGTAGTAGCGAAGAATACAGTAAATAAACAATGCTCTAAGACAAGGAACACCTAAATAGGTTTTGATCAACGCCTAAAGCAATTATTACTTGCTCTTTTGTAACATGTCCTGTATAACTAGAAAGATTTACAAAATATGCATTTTTTCTACTTATATCTTATGTTCCTTGTCCGTGAGTATATTATTAATGTAGTTATTTCTTGCACTCTATCTGAATTGATTTCTTCTACTATAATAAAGGCACTTTCTGAATTGTAATTGTCAGTATTTCGACCAATTGTCTTATATTCCCTAAACGATTATCTACATTGTTACATTTGCATTATGGAATTTTTTCATCTTCAAACTAGCCTTAGCGAAAACAGTCGAAATTGAATCGAAATTGACAAAAATAGATTTACTTCCACTGACATATAAAAGATAGATAGATTTTACGGTGTGATTTTTTTTCTTGTTTGATGGTAGTCAAACTTGAGAGTATCTCTGAAACTAATTCATGCTAGCAAAATATACTGTTAAAAGGTTTATCTGTGTCTTTTGAATCGTCATGATAGGAAACTGTTGTATGCATTGAAGTGTAAACTAATCGAGTGAGTTGTCATTACTAAGAAAAATTCATGTCAGCATCGATCATCATTGTCGTTGGCTAAATGTGAATCAAGTTATTTTTTGTAATATATTTCCATTCAATTCTCGATCGCTGAAATAATCAACAACATTGAAAAAGCCAATGCAATCTTTAGTAAACACTGAGATTCGAATAATTTTAATCTTGTTTTAAGAACTAATATTTTGCTATAACCATTTTATCATCTAACTTTGTTTCGATCTATGATTTGAGTAAAATATTTTTTCTTATTCATGTTCATCTTGTTTTCATGTATTTTCAGTTATTATTTTTAAAGAATTTCTCGTTCCGATACTTCTCACGCATCATCATTGACCTTTTTATCTGGCTTGCTTTTCTACAAGCAAGAAAAAGTTATGTCAACGCGTAGCATTCTGTTAATGCGCTCTAATTTTAGAGTTCGTTTTTTTTTCTATCGCGGACCTCTAGTAGAGTCATCGGGTTCTGGACCAGCTCGACAGATTCTAATCACTAGTGATGATCTGATTTATGTACAATTCCTAAAACATGCCATGTTTCGATATCAAATGTATTGGCAACAACAATTTCTTTTGTTATAGTTGTTGTTATTCCAAATTCAATTTTTAAATCAATTAACTGACAATTTTTCTTTACCATCCATATATGTTCAAGTATATCAAATATAGTACAACACGTTTCATACATATATTCAATTTCAGTTTGTGTAATTTTTAAATCTTCAACATCAAAATGTGCATTAAGAAGTTGTTCATAAGACCATATTGATGATAGGCATTCATCGGAATCAGAATCTTCTTCATCTAATGAACTTTCACAAGAAGAGTCAAGACTATCATCAATATTTGCTGCTGTTAAACGTCTATAAATAAGTGGATGACGTTTATGATAAATTTCAACAATAGGTGGAATAAATCGATGTCCGTTAACGATTCCTGGATTACGTTGAACATATGTTTCATTAGCTAAACGACGAATAATCCATAATATTGGTATCATTGTACATTTTCTTGCAATGAACATATCCGGTTGTCGATGTGGTGCAACATAAAATGTTGGAATTGATGCTTCACGTAAAATTTCATAAACACATGCTGTTATTGATGTAGTTAATGCACCTTTACCAGGCATTTCAATATATAAATTTGAATTATTACTATTATTAGTATTATTATAATAAAGATGTTGTTGTTGTTGCTGTTGATTAAAACGAACTGAACTATCAACACTTGTTCGACGACTACCTGGAATACTTAATGTTCCCCCTGATGTTAAATAATAATCTTTTCGGTAAATACAAATAAGACCAGGTTGATCAATCATAGAATAAATTGTTTTCGTTTTACCATCAAATAATTTTTGACCAAGTATATCATTTGTAGATGAAGTCATTTGTCTTAAAGAGATCAATGAAGTGCCTTCTCTTTTGGATTTGTCTCTATATCGATATATATATATATATATATGTGTTTATCGGATCAATAGCTGAATAATTATTTTCAGATGTTCGACACCTTCTCTTATATCATCAAGTTCTCTGTTTTTACGTTGAGATGCATCGTTTATCCTTATAAGAATAGCTCTATAATGATGATAATAATAAGCAAACAGCTGCTAGTAAAGTTGCGCACTGATATCGTCCTCTGTCTGTCTACTTGGTTATTGACCTTCGCCTTCGTTCGTATGAATATTTCTTAGATTGCTGCTTAATTTGCCTATTAGTCGATGTTCTTTTCTCATTTTTCCAAACGACGAATATGTCCGTCAGTAGATGTAATGATAAAAAGATTGAAAACTCTAATGTTATTGACACGTGTTTGAAATACAGATGTCATCATTTTTTTGTTCGATTTAATCTCTAGCTATCAATAATGTACACGTCTGCATAGACGTCATTGACATAATAACAAATGTAGACAAGGTTTTCTTTGTTTTTCTTTCTTGTGTTATACTTGTTGATTGATAAAGAACATATGCGCATCCTCAGTGACATGTTGTATTCCATGGAGAAAAAAGGATATAACTATAAGTAAAAGTTTATTATATGCATATTTTTGATCAGCGATAGAGACTACTTGATTGCTACTATTTATAATCTTTACTATCTAACATATCTTTCTTTAAGATAAAGATTTGTAACGATAACAGTGTAATTAAACGAACGAACCTATCTTGCAGTTTATTGTCCATTATGCTGGGGTTTATCTAAGTCATTAGGTATCCACTTAAAGCTTATATATATATGTATATACGTATATATATATTCCTTTGTCATAGACTTACATATATTTAACAGCAGTAAAAAATCACATGTGGGAATCTAATCAGTATGTTTATATGAAGAAACAGGATTTAAAAAAAATGAAACTCTTTCCGAAGTGGGCATAGTTGTTATCTAAATGTTCGAGACAAAAAGCAGTACAACGATGACGGATACAATAGATAAAGTAATATATATATATATATACTTCTCATCTATAAATAGCAGAGATATGTCCATACAGTGTTGAGGACATAATATCATTGAAACTAAAATATTGCTAAAAAAATGGTGACTATAACTGCATAATTCAATAATTCCTCTTCTTCTCTCTACAATCCAGACCATAAATAGTACTACGATAAAAAGTTGAAATATCTCGAATTTGATTTGCTCGAATTAGTTGATTTTTCTGTTAGTCGTAGAAACTCATTTTAAAGTTTTTTTTCTTCTTTTCATATAGATAACTTGAACGAATGCTACTATCAAGTTATATTTTTGTACTCATTAAAGAAATTTCATCTATTACCAAGTAAGAAAAATTCATATGAAGTGTTTCATAGATAATTTTCAGTTGTCATCTACGAGAATAATAATAAGAAATCAAAACAAACTTTATACATGATATTCTGTTGGTGTAGATCAAGCAACTTTTTAAAACAAGTCAGTTTAAATATTGAAATTCTTAGCCAATTGCAACTTTTTCGGTACCAACTTCCTTGCAAAAATTAGTATTACATGTTTGAATATTCAAAACTTTGTAATCGTTGACTTTTAAATTAACTAAGTAGTTCTAAAACTTTGCTATATGTACATCAATATAGTATATCATTTATAAAGTTCGTTTTGATTTCTTATTATTATTTCTTTAGACAAAGACTGTAAAGTACAAACGAAACGATTTATACGTATTTTTCTTAGTTGATAATATGTGATGTTTCTTTAATAAGGTCAAACATATAACTCAACAGTGGTATTTGTTTACGTTATTCGTATGAAAAAGAAATTCTAAATAAACTTCTATCGTTAACAAAAAAACAGACCCAATCGAGTGAATCGAAGCGGGGATATTTCAATGTTTTTATAATAGTACTATTTATGGCACATCTTGTAGTGCATTCGTCTATAACTCAAAACTCATCTAAACGGTACAATCATAAATGAATACCGAATAAAATACTTCTTATCATTTAAAATCCTCTTTCTTTTGCCATATAATTATACTTCATACGAGACTATGTTCTCATAAAAGTCAAGCAAGAGATTTTTTGTCTTTTATTAAAGTTAGTTAATTAACGTAAATGTTAAAAAGTTGTTAAGACCTTTTCTTTCCAACGAACTTTATTTAAACAGAAACATTCTAGTACATTGATATTTTTGTAAAATTATATACAAAATATAATAAGATTCTCGATGACATTATTTTTAACGACTTTGTTTACACGAGCCGTGATTTCTATGAGAAAAAATTTATAAATATCATAAAAGATTTCATGTATAGAAAGAAACACATACATTTATGAGTGTTGCCATTAATAATACTGCCTTTGTTTCAGCTTTCATATTATGTGGAACTAAAACAAAATAAATCATATTTAAATGTAATTATTAATTTATTAAAAGATACTCTTCATAGCTACAGCTTTTCCATATTCAGTTCGTTCAAGATCAGTTGAAAATGGATAAATTCTTCCAATACTTGTTATTTCATCATTATCAATTATTTCAAATTCAGGTACACGATGTTGAATTTTACCTCTTAAATGACTTTTACGTAACATCAAACTTACTGCATGCTCATGTCTATCATTGTATATATCATACCATACTTTACCAAATGCCACTCTATAATCAATAAAGAGAATAAAACTGTTCAGATTACATTTGATCACTATTACTATTTTTATCTTATATATATTTATATATATATAAGAATATGTATACCTGCGTTATCAGAAAGAAAATTGAAAATGGCAATTATGTCCAAATGTCAAAGAAAAACCTATGTTTTTTTTCAATCAATTCATATTATTTCGTAAGTGAAACAGAAGCAAACAAGAAAAAACAAAGAGCCTATCGATAGATTTCATGACAAATATGAATTTTTTTTCGTTTATAATTTTAACATTAATATCATCATTAATAGCACAGTATCAATATTTTCATAATCCATCATGGAATCATTCAAGTCGACAAAACTATATGGCACCAATAGATCTATATGCTGGAGTACATTTACCAAACCACAATCATGCAACGGCTCCGTCTATTGATACTGTTGTTCCAATAAATAATAATCAATATAGGAATAATTTATTGACAACTCGAACTACTTATTTTTTTCATCCAATATCAACAACAACAACTATTCAAACAAAAAAATATTATAGTTTTAGACGACGAAATCGAACTAAAATAATACCACCACCAGCAAATCCAAATGCTCAACATTTTGGAATTGTTGTTAATGTTTATGAGCCAACAGATATAAAAAGTACTCTATCATCAACAACACAATACCCATGGTGGAAATTAACTACAACAACAACAACAACAACAACAACACAATCATTCTATGAACGTTTTCCTAAATTACCTTCACAAATTAGTAGATTACCACCACCAACGGTACCAAGAAGTTTTACAACGCTGCCTAGTTTTACATATTCATCAACAACAAAAACAACGACGACTACTGATAGGACTACTACTACTACTACTACTACTACTACTACTACATTCTCTCAATCAAGTAACGACCATGATTAGTTATTTTCTAAAATTGTGAATTATTGACAATATTTATTTTATTTAGCATCTAGTTCATTTGTGCCTAGTTCACCTATTCCATCGAATTCATCTTGGTTATTCACTGTTCCATCATTTTCTCAAATTATCGATCAATATCCTCGTTATCCAACAATTATTCGTTGGTTTGAAGAACTTTCTCATCATCCTAATATATCTCGTTTTTTTGCATACGAAATTATTGGGCGTACTCATGAAAATCGTTCATTAGTTGTAGCAAAAATTGGTCTTATGCCATTTCGAAAAAGTCGTCGTTCTGTATGGCTTGATGGTGGTATACATGCAAGAGAATGGATTTCAACAGCAACTGTTCTTTATACAATGGCACGAATAATTAATGGTACATTAGCACGTGATGCTGATGTAAGAAAATTAATTGATAAATATGATTTTTATTTTATGCCTGTTGTTAATCCTGATGGTTATTCATATACACATGATGATATAAAGACTATTTGGGATACACAAGAAAAACAAGATCAACAGCGAATGTGGAGAAAAAATCGACGACCACATAATGAATGTCCAGGCGTTGATTTAAATCGAAATTTTCCATTTGCATGGGATAATCGAGGAGCATCGAAATTTCCATGGTATTAATATTAATCTCTTGTTATAAAATTTATTTTATATTATTTTTGTTTCTCATTTAAATTTAGTGAAGAAACATATCGTGGACCATATCCTGAATCTGAACCAGAAGTTCGATCGATAACATCGTTTATATTACAACGTCGACGTTATTTTTATGCATTTATAACATTACATGCATTTGGTAATCTTTGGATGTTACCATTTTCATTTTCAACACGTATTCGTCCATATGATTATCATCGTGCTGAACGTTTACTTTTACAAATGAATCATTTAAGTCAAAATACATTCAAAATTGGTCAATCATCAACAGTACTCTATACAGCAACAGGTACAAGTGAAGATTGGGCTAAAGCTATAGCACAAATTCCACATACATTTTCAATTGAACTTCCACCAAGTACTGATGCATTTGATATGCGTCAAGATGAATTAAATGGTTTTACATTCTATGCTGATAAAGATATTGGTACAGTAGCTGAATCAACATATCGTTTATTACAATTATATCTTAAAAATTTAGCTAAATTACAACATTCATCACGAATAACAATTTAAGAAAATTCTTTTTTCTTTTCTATTAATAAAGTAGATTTTTTTTCAAACATACCCTCGTCGTATAGATCCAATTGATTGACTTTCACTTGATATTGTTGGTAAACATCGAACTTCTTGTTTAGTACACATTTGACAAGGAAGCGGTAAACGATTTTGATAGAGTTCAAGAACGACCTTAAGAAGTGTTTTTTCTTCTCTTTAATAAAATGAACAAAAAGAAATATAAAGTTACTTGTTTAGTTTCAGGCATCATTAAAATAATTCTTTGAGACAATATGGAGTTCAATACAGATGGATTCGTTTTATCACCTATAGATAGAAATGAAATTTTTAATTCAAATCAAAGATTTGTTTTGATTTTTAATATCTTACCAATTTGATAATTAAATAAAACTTTATTTACTCTTGATACAATTTTTCCACATTCTATTGCACCAATTTCATTTGCAAATCCTTGAATAATAAAAATTGAGAATATCAATTACTTCAAATGATGATATAATCATACCATTTTGAAATGGTTTTAAAATGAATTCTTCTTCATTAGAAAGTAGAGCCAAGATTTTTGCCACATTAAAAACTCCATCATTCACCGCCATTGATTTCGATTCATTCAAAATAATGCCATAGATAGGTTTTTTCTTTTAGTTAAATTATTACACTCTTTAAAACATGAGACAAAATATATATGACTGTGTATTTTTATACCTTTCGTGATGGCAATTATTTTAAAAAGAGTGATGAGAGCGATGCATTCGTGCATGACTTCATATTTTTATATAAACGTCTATAATTAGACAATGTATTCTCTTCGAAGTATAGAAAGAAAAATTGAATAAGTCAAATGAACGATAAAATGAAATTTATTAATATTCGTCATCGTTAAAAATGATGAATGTTTTTTTGCTTTTATTATTCGAGAAACAATCATATAATCATGTTTCTTTTTTTTTTTATCAAAGCCAAATCATGGAAGTGCATGTACGTGCTAATTTATAAAATGGAAAAAAACTGCTTCGATGCCTCGAGAAAAAAAACAACTAACAAAAACAATTTGCCACATACTTAAATATCGTGTCATGCACGATCAAAAGAATGTCATTTAGGAATCAAAGTTTAGTTACGTGTGTATACACACTTTCTTTATCATACATTTTTTTATTGCAATCAATCAACAAAATGTGAAAGGAATGTATATTTTATTATATTATATACAATGTCAAGAAGAACTAAAAAAAAATAGAAAAGATCACAATGATGTTAAGAAGATTATGATGAATAAAAATTGATTATATTATGAGAAGAGTACTCAAGAATTTGATTAATTTATTCTTGTATTTTTGTTTCTGCTCTTTCACAATAAACGATTAAGATTATTCATTCATTTTTAAAGTAAAAATATGAAAGATAATATACTGATAAAATGATATAGAAATCATTTTTATATATCTTTATAGCTCTGGCTTTGAATTGTTAATTATGAGTAAACATTCGAATGTAAATTTCAAGTGTGAAGTGTGTAAAACGTTTTAAGATCTAATTCGTCCTTTGTAAATGGTTCCATAAACATACAGAGTTTCTATTGAACGTTTTGATAATTGTATTTAATGAAAGAGTTGTCTATTTCAATGTATAGTAGAAGAAATTTTAGAGAATAAACTTTGATACTAATAGAAAAGAATAAAGACCATGAATATCATTATCGTTCGTTATTTGCAAAAGGCCATGAGGGTAGAAATATAACTGACTTAAACAGAACACAATACTTACGATAAAACGAAAAACATTCTTTGATGTTAAACTATTTTTCCTAAAAATGATCTTTTTAGAAAGTTCGTTTTTTTTCATATTATTATTATTATTAAATAATTGAAGATATCTAATTGATTGATTTCAAGAACGTTAACAATTTTTATTTTAATTAATCTAGCATTTATCAATTAAATTTGATATCAATCATCACTTTATTAATAATATGTAGTTTACATATCACTATTGTTTCACTCTGCAAGATTAATTTGACAGAATAAAAGTCTTGAAACCTTGAAATTTGTTATTGTTTACATAATATCCTATCAATGTATGCAATTATATTCAAGATTTATTATTAAATAGCTGAAGTAATACAACTGAACTATTATCAAACACGTAGTTCTTATCTACAGTAAAGAAAAAACTATTCCAAACATGCTGTGAGAAGCTATTTGCTTAAGTTTTAATATGAGATTCTATTCTTCTTTACGGGATCGCATAAAATAATTTCAAGGTGGTGCCATTTTCTTTGAGAAAAAGTTATAGCGAGTTCGATATTTTCAATTTGCTGCTCCGGAATATACATACATTAAATCAATCGTGGAAGCAAATGCATGAATAGTATCTGAATATATCGAAAGACAAAATAGGATAGATTGTACCCATTTGTTTAGATAAATCGCGGAGTTTATGCATTGTGATAAGTGTTTTACAGTGAAAGAAAACATTAGTAAGTAAAGAAAGTTTAATAAGGATATTTTAATATTTTATAAAACTTTTGGCAGCATCGTCAGTGTATCCTTTGTTTTAGTGCATTCTCTCGTTCTGTCTTCAATTTTTAGTATTGAAGAATACTTGAAAATATACAAACTATTGCTTGTCATTCTTAATTAACGGAAGATCTATAGAAGATCGAAAGAGAGAGAGAGAGAGAGAGAGAGAGGAAGAATCAATGATGATACATTTTGGTCGTTTTATACGATCAAGTCAATATTTTTTTTTCATTGTTGCTGCTCTGTTCGTTTTTTGTCCATTTTTAATTATCATTTATAACCAATCTGTCGTATCGTATGAATTCGTACTTTCGAATACTTCTAATGAAACTCGTTACGAACGATTTTGCCGTCAAGTATACCAACGTATCAATGTTGAACAAACATCAACTACCCCTATTCGAATTAGTCCTAAAAATGGATCTATTCCATATTCATATTCTCAATGGCGTTCAAGTTCGCTTCTGCCTCGTGCACTGACTCCATGTGAACATGCTCTTTATATGCATCTTTTATCAATACTCATTGAAAAAGTTTTTAATAAATATAATATTCCATATATGATGATGGCTGCTACACTACTCGGTAATTACAATTAAGAAAATGTCATAGTTTAATAGTTCTGTTCTATTTCAGGTAGTTATACACGTCATGATATATTACCATGGGACGATGACGTTGATCTACGTGTTTCAATATCGGATCGCTATCGTTTACAATCAATTATTATTGGAGAACTTTCATCAGAACCCCACTCAATTATTATAATGCAATTACATAATAAGCGTAATTATGATAAGGTATTTTTCTCTTGGTGTCCTCATGCTGGTGAAACACCATGGCGTTTTCCTTTTATCGATATATTTTATCATGATCAAAATTCAACACATATTTGGTTATTAGGACAGCCAAGTAGTTGTCCCGTTCGTCTTGAAGATGTATTTCCTTTAGTACTTCGACCTTTAGGATCATTATGGTTATACGCACCTCGAGAGCCAATGGCTCATTTTGAATCACGCAGTATGAAATCTATTGAAACAGGCTGTTATGCTTTTGCATATTCTCATAAATATGAAACATTGCTAAGAGATGATACTCTTGTTGCCGATTGTTCCCAACTTAAATTTGTTTATCCATATGTTGAACGACAATGTGTATTAAATAAATGTATTGAATATCTTAAATTGGGCCGTAAAACTATTATACATAGACTCATCTATCATTACGCTTATAGAACATTTTTATATGCAGAAAAAAATCGATCCTTCGTTCCATGTCAATCTTCACTTTATAGTTAATTAAAACAGAAAACATTTTTGGTTTGAAAAAAAGTAAATAAATAATCTAGATAACATCTACATGTGTTTATTAAAAAAAAAAAATTAATTGCTTTTCTTTGTGTTGGTTTAATTTAAATCGATGTCAGATGATTTTGAGTGATTAACTTCGAAAGATATACCCAAGGAAGAAATGGCAGACTTTGTAATTGAAGGTAATTTACACTACTTAAACGCACTTCGAGCTACTTTAAAGTACTTTTTGTAATTTTAAAGTGCTTTTCAAAGTACTCTTATATAATTTCAAAGTACTTTGATGTACTTCAAATCTGCCGTCTCTCCCTTGGATATACATCATTAGAACTTTAGATGCTGAAAATATTCTTATTTCAGCTTACTTTAACTTTGGAATGAACTGTATGTGTGCAAACATAAATAACAACATGTTATGACAGTCAACCTATATCAAAAGCTCATTTGTTAAAATTTACTAATAGAAATACATAAAAAGTGAGTTCATATCAACCTAGAATCTATACAAGAAAAACAAAGAGCACGAAAATAAATTGTATTTAAATCAAAAAAAAAGAAGTAGTATTGAAAATAGAAGATTGAAATGAACTGGCGGAAAATAAAGTTTCATTGCTACAATATTGATGCAGTGAAGAGGTTTTATAGACAGCTGAAATGCCAATAAAATATGAATCATACACTCAATATGAAATCTTTGCTAATTGAACTTGAATTTGAATTCAAATTCAAATTTAATATATAAAATGTTGACTTACAATTGATGACATAAAAAGAATATTCATTACTGGATAAT